AAGTTGAGATGTCGAAAAAGTGCACGCCTTTGTGGCGCGAAGCACATTTCGAAGTCAAAATGTGCAACACACACCATTCTCGGACATCACCCCACCCCACCCCAACACTCCTGCGCAGTAGCATCATCAACGACAGACATTCGTAGCGTAGCATCATCAAACTTTTGTTTCATCCAACAAAACGCAATATAAAGTAGCTGCGAAAGAGGAGAAAAACGAAACCCACCTACTTCTGGCCCAAAACGGCCAAAAATGCCATCCCATACAAGAGCAACGACGCAACATGCGTTTCAAGCCACAAAACACAGTTAAAAAAAAACGACATTCCGACGACTGCGCACAGAATACGACAGATGCATTTAAGCATGAACGTATGCAATTAAATCATGAGCACAGATACATACATGCATGCATACCCCAGTGGATACAGTATACATCGAGAGAACAGGGGTTACCCGCCCAAACAGTGCCCCCTACTGCCAAGCTGGTGACAACACACAAAGAAATAAAGGAACAACTTTAGCAGGTTTAAACTTTAGCACCACACAGCACAGCTTTGCTCAAACCTTGCAGGTTCACCGTGATAAAGGTCCCAACCTCAGCACTCATGTGAGCAAAACACGTCAAAACTACAGCAAGCTCTTGAGGCCAACTGACCGTATAAGTAGATGCCTAAATTACATACATATAATTACATATAATTGTAATATTGTTATTGTTTCTATCAAAATAGCATTCAGCAAAGTTCGCTGTGCAAAGCAAATCACGTGGTGCATGTTGATGAAAGTGGATGCTGCGGGACATTGATGAAGGCTGTGATGATGCTCATGAATGTTTGATCGTGTTTTCAATGGGAACTTTAGGACATCCAATCCGTAGCCAGAGACACAATTCCAGCACAGTAAAAAAATCCTTACTGCAGCGTTTCTTGCGCACCGCAACTGAGCACCTGACCGCACAGCTCCAAATCCGCTGCTTGAGCCAACTCAATGAAGAGTCTGGCCACGAAGCAGGCCGTGCTGAGAGAGGCAAAGTGCAAGGCATGGCTAGAGCCCACGTAAGGCCTCACAAGCATTCACCACCATTCAAAGCCATTCACGGCCGGTCGCTTGTTGCCACTCTGAAATCACTTTAGAGCGGAGAACGAAAGAATGAAGTTCTGCTAACGGGCTGACATCGGGAATGCTGAGCACAAGCGATTTTGGGGTAGCCTTTGTGCCTGACAAGATCAATCCATCACACTTTTCGTGAACATGGACGAAACATTCACTGCATGTAGTTGATCCGGATAACACAAGCAAACACAGGGGAGATGATGAGGATAATGGTAATGATGTTTAATGTTATTACCGGTAGTATCGCACAAGGCGGTGGCGGAAGTTTCAAAGACAGGAAACCTATAGGAGACTTTGGTTGGTGTGACCATGGATGGCAGAGCGAACCTGCTGGTGGACGGAGGGGTGGTTGAAGCTCTGATTTTTTTCCTCTTCCCATCTTTCTTTCCTTCTACTTCCATCTATCTATTTATATATCTCTACCTGCCGGCCCATCTATCTATGCATGCGTCTATTTTCTACCTATCCATCCATCCGTCTATCCATCTATCCATCTATCCGTCTATCCATCTTTCCATTTATCCATCTATGCATTTATCCATCTATCCATCTAGCCATCTAGCAACAATGCTCAAAGGGGTACTAGTTACTAGCCAATGAGGCAAAGTTTCAACATCCCACGGATGAGCTATTTGCCAAATGTGGATTGCTACCACTGCCCGGTCAGCTTCATGCACACAGGTTGCGGTTCCTTGCCAGATTGTTTCCCGCCTTCCCCTCCTTGACATAAAGGAGACTTCCTCAATGTTCGAAGTTGACAACATCACAAACGAAGCAATTCTGCGAGTTGAGTGCAGGGCGGACGGCCTTGCACCAATGCATTTTCCGATTGTTCGACTCCACCTGTCTAAAGCATCATTGACCACGCCAAGAAAAAGTGAGGCCAGGCTTAAGAGAATTTCTGGCAGCCAAAGTCTGGAAATTTCAGTTTTATTATTTTTTGCATTTAATCATCATTTGTGTTTTCATTTTTTTATTTCATTTTCATTATTTTTTCATCTAAAATGATCATCTTTTTTTTCATTCTGGTTTGTTCGTTTGGATGCTGATGGTTTTGCTATTCGGTTGGTGGTTCTCTTCTTGTTTTGTTCTTTCTCCAGTCTTTTTCCTTCTGCTTTTTACATACTTGGGGGGGAGGGGAGGGGAGGGGGGAGTGGGAGGGAGGGAGGGGAGGGGAGGGGAGGGGAGTCGAGGAAGAGGGGAGGGGAGGGGAGGAAGAGGGGAGGGGAGGAAGAGGGGAGAGGGGAGAGGGGAGAGGGGAGGGAACCCAGCTGGGAAGCTTCCAAGCCACCTGACTAGACCCCGGCCCTTGCAAAAATTTTGGAAAATTGCAATTTTCCTCGAGTTTTTTTCATTTTTTGTCATTTTTTAATCATTTTTTTAACAATTGTTTTATCATGTTTCATCATTTTTGCTTCCAGTGGTGAAAAAAAACAAAAAATAGAAAATTGCAAGTTTCCTCGAGTTCTTTCATTTTTTTATCATTTTTATCATTTTTTTATCATGTTTTTTATCATGTTTCATCATTTTTGCTTCCAGTGGTGCAAAAATTTCCCAAAAAAATTGAAAATTGCAAAATTCCTCGGGTTTTTTTCCATTGTTTTATCATGTTATTTTCATTTTTTTATCAGTGTTCATCATTTTTGCTGCCAGTGGTGTAAAAATTTTCCAAAAAATGGAAAATTGCAATTTTACTCGGGTTTTTTTTCATTGTTTTATCATTTTTTTATCTTTGTTTATCATGTTTTTATCATGTTTCATCATTTTTGCCTCCTGTGGTGCAAAAATTTTCCAAAAAATTGAAAGTTGCAATTTTCCTCGAGTTTTTTTCATTTTTTAACATGTTTTATCATGTTTTTATCATGTTTCATCATTTTTGCTTCCAGTGGTGCAAAAAAAAATCAAAAAAATGGAAAATTGCAATTTTCCTCGAGTTTTTTTCATTGTTTCATCATTTTATTTATCATTTTTTATCAGTTTTCATCATTTTTGCTTCCAGTGGTGTAAAAATTTTCCAAAAAATTGAAAATTGCAATTTTACTCGGTTTTTTTTCATGTTTTTATCATTTCTTAATCATTTTTCATCATGTTTGCTTCCAGTGGTGCAAAAATTTTCCAAAAAATGGAAAATTGCAATTTTCCTCGGGTTTTTTCATTTTTTAATCATTTGTTTATCATTTGTGCTTCCAGTGCTGCAAAAATTCTCCAAAAAATGGAAAATTGCAATTTTCCACGGTTTTTTCATTTTATTATCATGTTTTTTATCAGTGTTTTTTCATTTGTTCAATCATGTTTTTACATTGTTTTTATCAGTTTGTTTCATTTGTTTAATCATTTTTTTACATTTTTTATCATGTTTTTTCATTTCCATTTTCTCTTTTCATTTTTCATGCTTTTTTCCATTTCACTTTTCTCTTTTCATTTTACCATTTTGTTCATTTCCATTTTCTCTTTTGATGCTTTAGTTTTTTTTAAACTTTTGCCTGCTTTTTCTTTCAATTCTTTTTACTCTATGTCATAAGCCTTAGTGCTCCTTCAAGCTGATAACGAATTATGAATTGTAAAAAAATTTATATACTACTTCCAGGTTTGCTACCTATGACTGACATAGCCTATTTTCATAGCATGGCACCATCTGACCCAAACTAATGGGACCTTGGGCAAAAAGGACTTCAGAAGGTCTCGCGCTCAAAGGCTTTCCAACAGCCCCCGCAGATGCAAAATGGAAATTTTAAAAAAAAGATAATGAATTTGGAGATGATAAAAAAAAAATGATAATGAATGATGTAAAATAAATGATAACCAAAATGATGATAAAATGAAAAAATAAATATGTTGACTCCCCCCAGGCTGTGGCTCACATATTCTCTTAAGGCCAGGCCATACGAAGCGCAGCTCTCACGCAAAATTACTTTAGCAAACTTGAAAGTCTGATGCTGCACCACAATGCAACCCCTCTAAGGAAATCAGCGCCCTGACCTCCCAACATCTCTGATGAAAATGTCTCTGGGACCGCGCCTCCCACGCAAAATGCATCTTTTCAGGTCCGCTTCAAATGTCCCACGCCTGCCATCGTTTTTTAAAATTCTGCACAACCCACACGTTTGACTCTCTTTTGAGAAGGTGCAGAACCCATTGCGCCTGCCACACAAAACGACGCTTGAACTTGCAAAAATGATCCGAAAACGGTGCTTTTCACGGTTTGACTTCGAAATGCGCTTCGCGCCACAACACCGTGCACCTTTTCGACATCTCAACTTCCAAAAGTGCTCCGAACCCGAGGTGCTTTTAACGCTTTGACTTACAGACAGATGTGCTTCCCGCCGCAACAGCGTGTAAGCTCCGCACCCGCCGCTTTAGCGAGCCTACTTTTGGACCCTCCGAGCCACGAAACATTGGAAAAACACAGTGTTTCGCGACTTTTCTACCTTTTCACGCGCCTTGATCTTCTTTCTTCCTTTCTCTTATCTGATCTTCTTTCTTCTGCCTTTCTCTTCCCGCTCTTCCCACCTCTGCTTTTCCATCTGTCCATAGTGTCGGAGTCTATAAGGATAAGGATGTAGGATCAGGATGAGGTGTGGCTGGGGATGATGATGAGGAGGAGGAGGAGGGGGTTTCATGTCTGTACGGCATACATGCATGTGCCACAAAATACACAAAGAGAGGTGTCAGCAAGCACTCGTCTGAATTCCTGTATGGCCCCAGGCACCGTTGAAGAACTGAGATTTCAGCCTCCTGCCAGGGAGAAACCAGGCACTTGAAGCTTTCATGGTACATCCAAACTTAGTGACAAATTTGTGTGCAAGTGCCCCCTCCCGCGCATTATGCGCACAACAGTATGACAGTACGGACGTGATATTACCTGGCATCGGTTCCTTCTGCTCTTTTTCAGCTCCAAGCAATTGCGCATTAGATTACAGAGCAAACTCATTGGCAGACGGTTGATGCCATAAATACTCAAACAGCTTCTGATGGCAACTTGCCTGCACCACCATGTTGGGTTATGGGGTGCAAGCTGAAGAAGCTCTGACATAATGACCTGTGCACCATGTCACTACGCAGCTTTCTAAAGTACAGACTGGGGGCCATGTGTGTAATGCGCCCTCCAAATTTCCTACAAGTCGTGTATGAGCAAAAGAGTGTTGGTCTCATACTTTGATCTGTCTTCTCCGAAGGGGACTTCCCTGCTGGGGGTTCCAGGGTCGCTGCTCGGTCTTTGGAAACCAAGGTACGGCAGCAGTCACCGAGTAGGTGCGATAGACACCAACCTTCGGTGGCAACCACTGAGTCGTTGCTGATGTCATTGGTGTCGAAGTGGCCATGGCTGACCTTGCCGACGCTGAAGCTGCTGTGTGTTCTCTGGTGAGGCATGGCTGGCCTGTCTGGCCTGGCTGACCTGGCTTCAGCTCAAAACCAGTGACCCGGTGCCAAGGGAGGGGAGGTGTCATCGGCATCGGTGGGGTTGAGCACGGCATCACCGAAGGAGTTATGCAAGTGGAAATCCCCTGTATTCTGCCTGTGCCACTGCCAGCGCTGGTAGTGCTGGTAGTCTCGGCAACCGTGTGCTGAACTGGTTTCATACAATCTCGATGCACCCTGAAGAATCCAGGTGCAGGCGACCATGCGCCACTAGGTACAAGCCGAGGCTGGCTCCGTAGGTCAGGTTTCTCGCATGGCGGTCGGTTTTCATGTGTTTGTTCAGGGGTCTTTTCCAGAGTCTTCTCACTCTTGATCTCCGTCCCCTCCCATGGCTTCTTGGGACTCGGGTTGGGTGTTGAGGCACCTGTGAAGTTGCATGGTGTTAAGGCAGCCCTTGGAGGCGGTGAAATTTCTAAGTCCTTGGGATAAGCATTCTCCTGCGAATCAACCTTCATTGCAACCTGGCTGTCCTCATTCCCACTCTTTTCATCCTTTGCACTCTTCGTATCTACAACCTCATCTCTGGTCTCTGCCGTCTCGGTTGTCTCCTGCTTTGCCACTTCGGTGGCCTCAGGTATGCGGATTCGTGCACTGTGGTAGCCAGGATTGGCTTCTTCCCCGGGAGGCAAGCGGAGAGATCCAGAGGTCAAGGAGACCAAATCGATAGGCACCGATCCCACTACGGTTGCTGGCGGTGGCGGTGGTGGAGGGCGTCCAGATCGCCAAGTCTGCATCGGACTCACAAGACCGGACTGGAAATTCTTGGAAACGGCGCCTCCAGGCACAACTCGACGCACTGGACTTTCTAGCCTGGCTGCTCGGACTCCAGGGCCTCCTTGGGATTTCTGAGACTTCTCCAGGATATCAGTGTAAGTCTTGACCCAAGATGCAGGCGGAGAAGCTACAGCGGCTACAGTTTCCTCCTTAGCTTCAAGCTCCAACTCGCGAAAAGCAGAAGGGACAGACCTTCCAGGGGGACTTGAAGGACACGGAGCGCTTTGAACCGGGACCCGTAAGCTCCGCGTGGTCCAAGACAAAGGCGAAGGTGGTGAGCACTGCGAGCACTGCGAGCACTGCGAGCACTGCGAGCACTGAGTTGGAGATGCTGCTGCTTGTGGGCGGATGCGCTTGGCAGATGCACTGCGCGTGACGCCGGGACCTGGGCCCACTGAGCCCCCTGGGCCCCCTGGGCTCAGGGGACCATGGGAAGGCGGTGCTGGAGGTGCCGCCCCAACCTTTTGCATGAGGTCTAAGGTCTTCCGAACATCACTTCCAGGAGAGAAGTAGGCATCACGAACTTGGGGAGCTTCAATCTTTCCTGGTGAGTTTGGATTCGAAGCTGTTCCTTAGAAATGCATGAGTCATCATGAATCGCCGACAATCACGGGATGCTTCAGTGCTTCATGACCTTTCAAATGGAACTCGTAGTGGCCAAGAAAACCTGCATGGCAAGGCTCGGGTGGAGGGCTCCGGACTCCTGCAAAAGAGGCACAGCTGCAAGAATGGCTGTTGGCAGGAACTGGTCAATAATTGGGAATGACCAAGTATATCCAAGTATAATGACTGAAGATGGCGTAGATGTTCAATCTGCAAAGGGCTGGCTCCTCTCCGTCTGGGGGGCTTGAAGCCTTATACCTTGGAATTAGTCGAGTTGATGAGTTGATGCCATGAGATGCCATCAGATGCCGTCAAATGCCATGAGATGCCACATGAGGTCTTGTAAAAACCCCGAGCCCTTTCAAATGGTTTTTCCAGACTCCAAACGTTATCGTTGTTTGTCCTCTTATCGTTTTTCCAAGCGCTGGCTTCACACCTTGATCAAAGAATTCACATGAGCGAGGAAAGGGAAAAGGAAAAGGAATAGTAAAGGAGGGGAAAGGAAAGAATAGGAAACGGAGAGGAAAGGAAAGAATAGGAAACGGAGAGGAAAGGAAAGAGAAAGGAAAAGGAAAGGGAAAGGAAAAGGAAAGGGATTGGAAAAAGAAAGCGAAAGGAAAAGGAAAGGAAAACGAAAGGAAAAGGAACGGAAAAGGAAACGAAAAAGGAAAGCAAAAAGGACAGGAAAAAGGAAAGGAGAAGGAAAACGAAGAGTAAAGGAAGAGACAGGAAAAGGAAAGGAAAGGGAGAGGAAAAGGGGAAAAAAGGCAGTGTCTCACACAGACATTTTTGATGCCAAAAGTTAGCGTTTTCGCTATCGTTTTCGTTTTGTTATCGTTCGTGAATCCTGTGTGTGTGTGTTCCTTTTTTCTGGAAATGGCTGCAATCATCAAAAAAGGACTGTAGCGACCACCTACCAGGCACCTTCCTTGTGCAGAATCTGCGCCATTACGACAACAAACAATGAAAGGAAGAGACCAAAAGCACTAGATAGCCGCAGAATGATGGAAAAATGAAGAACTTTGGATTTCAAGAGTCTGGACACGTATCATTAACATAACCAACGTTATCGTTTTTTTCCTCTTAGCGTTTTTTCGAGTGAAAGCTAAAAATGGCTCATGGGGGATCATGGAAGACTAAACGAATAGGCGCGGGGTTTTACGAGCTCTCACATAAACAAATGGCTCTCACCCACCACTCAGCCGCAAGCCTTTCAGATAGTCTGGCAATGGAACCTTGCACAATGGGCCACTGCAACTTAATTGGGGCATCAATGCAACTACAGCTGTCCTACAACGACAATCGCACCAGCCACAAGTAAAGAAGGACTTAGAACGTTTCGTGTGAGAAGCACTTCCGGCACTTGCCGCACTCTTGTCACGAAATGTCACCACCCCAACTTCGCTGCGCCTTGGGACTTGTTCGCCCTGTTGCCGTTTTCTTCTGTTTGGCAAGTTGCCCCTGTTCCACGCACATCACTTCATGCAAAAGTATCAAAAATCAACTTGGGTGCTCAGATGCGCTCAGTACTTAAGTCATCCGAATATTCAATGCACGCCATTTGTCTTGTGCCCTTAGGCTTCAGACTTCATCTAAAGGAAAACACGACTACCGATCAATCCTTCTCAAGGATCAATTCAAGGCCACACATACTTGTCGTACTTGTGGCGTGAGCAAGAAATTATGCAAAAACAGCAGTGCTGACCCAGGTAAAATGTTCAAATTTCCTCGATGCCTTGAGGTATTCCATGGCCGCGTCTGATTCGCACCTCAAAAAGCATAGTGCCGGAAGCACTCACAACATTCAAAATATATTGTGTATATATTTATTTATGGGTGCGTGTAGGCATAGATATTCTGCAGAAATCCTGCTCTACATGGCACAGCCCAAACCGCAACAACCACAACGATCCTGACAAGTATGTCTTCCACCGCAAAATGTCAAGGTTGCGGCCTGGGCTTTGTTTTGCGTGGACCTGAGGGGTTCTTCTGCTGCTCCTTCAGGTACTTCATAGCGCAATCTTCTCCGTCCTGTGAGTGACGACGTCCCTCAGAGAAGCACTGCGTACAATGGTACAATGTGTGAAAATGTGTATGTATATAAATGTTAATATTCATATGTATTTATGTATGTATGTATGTATGTATGTATGTATGTATGTATGTATGTATGTTTGTGTGTTTGTTTGTATGTATGTATGTGTTTGTTTGTTTGTTTGTTTGTTTGTTTGTGTACATATGTGTGATTATGTGTGATTATGTGTGATTATGTGTGATTATGTGTGATTATGTGTGATTATGTGTGATTATGTGTGATTATGTGTGATTATGTGTGATTATGTGTGTGCGCGCCTAGGATCCTGCGTCCTTTTTCAATATAATTCCTTTTTGCAAACACTGCCTATGAAAGCACTGCGCAGTCCTCAGACGCAGCCATCGCTCAACGACCCCAAAAACAGCTACCGAATCGATACAGGACGCGAGCAGGAGTGTCCCAAAATAGTGAGCTGCTGCTGTCCATCTCACGTCTTACATCCAGAAAAATACTTGTATAATTTGGGGAAGGGAAACACATGGATCCGGCATTTTCAGCTTCGTGATCAAGATTGGCAGCACGGCGATCTGTGTTCTCTTGAATGAGCCAGTGGCAGAGCATGACTGCAAGTGCGGCGAACAGGGTGCAAGTCAAGCTATTGCAATCGCAATTGCCGAGAATGTTACACGGAACTGGCAGTTGTCGTGCTCACTGCATCGAACTCATGATTTACTGATCATTTGGTCTCATATGAGATTTACAGTTAAATAGCACAATGCCACCGCATCCATGCCCTTAGAAAACGGCGAGGGGCTTGCCAACCATTTTATCGATATAAAGGGGTGGGCCAACCCCTTAGGGTACGTACGTTTTTGCATCGATTGGGGGTCAGGTCCAGGTTGACCCTCGGGATTTCACGGGGGTTGGTGGATGTCATGTCGCTACATGTCACCACCGTATCTTTTCGTGTCTCAAAACCGCTGGACTCGGCTGGCACAGAGCTCCTTGCCATAAAGCTCTGCAGCGGCATCTGCAGGATCGCCCCCGGATGCCAAGAAGGCCAAATGCGAGCGAAGCTCCTTGTGCTTGGCTACGGTCTGGTATGCGGTATGGCCCAGTATGGCCTGGTATGGCCCGATATGGTGCGAATACAATGTGAAATAATGTGAATATAGTGACTATAGTGGAGATGGTGTGGACGAGAGTTGGAGCAGAGATCCCAATCTCGGGCTCCTCTGGCACCGGCTGCTGATGCTTCACCAGCAAGGTGAGACCCGAATTCTCGGCCTGATGCGACACGGTGGACTCTCCCAGCAGCCAGGTGTCTTTGTAACATCCACATGGCATCGTTTTTCGAACCATGAGCTTCAATTCAATTTGAAGGTGAACTTCTGAGGGATGGTCACAAAGAGATTTGAAAAATCAAGAAAAATGTGCTTCAGCCAAAACGGAGAGGAAAATGCCCACAAATTGGTGGCCAAACAAAACAAAACAAGCGCTGCATGAGGCCGTTAGTGACTTCACTTGCAATTCTTAGAAAACAACAGAAACAACGCAAGTAGGCCACAACCTCCTGTCCGCAGCAAGCCGATTTCAGAAGCTGTGCAGCTGCGCATGAAGGTTGAGGTGGGCTGCTCTTCGCCATGAAGCGAATAGGAAGCAGAAACAGGAAAACAGCGACGCAAACTCTTGCGTATGTGCATATAGATGTGTATACAAATATTATATAATATATATATATATGTATATATATATATATATGCACATGGATGGATGTATGTATGCATGTGTGTATGCATGCACGTATATGTATATATAGTATTATATAAATATATAATTATATATATATAATTATATATAAATATATATTATATGTGTGTGTTTATGTACATATAGAGTGTGTGTGATAAACATCGAATCAGTAAAAATGATCCAAGCTCAAGCTTAACCAACACAGTCATGTATGTCATGTCAAAACTTAGTCAACCGGCCAGAAACCTTGATAGAAATGCTCGCCATTTGGGATCCTGGTTCTGGCGGTGATCATTTGTATCTATGTGTACTAAATGTGTACAACATGTTTCGTTGATATTCGTTGATATTCGTTGATATTCGTTGATCTCTCTTGTTCATGAACAGGCGATGCCTGCGATTCAATAGATCTTACTAATTGCCCTACCAATTCGGGGCATGTTGGAAATGCTGCGGCAAGTCCACTGCATTGCACAAAAGAAAAGCTTGATCTGCACTTCTGGGGCAAACCCTAACCGTTCTAACCTCCAGAAAAATTGTGTTCTGGAGAATTTCCCCTCTTTGTTGATCTCCGACACTTTCGATGCACTTGGGGCACCACTGAGTTCAACACAAAGCCGGAAAAGAGCCCCCAATGTAGCAAGCCACGACCTCGTGTGAAAGCGATTCTTCACAACACCTTCTCTCGCAACAAAATACACAAAGGATCACAAAGGTCCATCAGCTCCCTGGGGTCCGGCTGGATCTGCCTCTCTGTGAACAGCTGACAGGTTGCTGCCATATACCTGTGCTTCTGCCAGGTCCAGCAGAATCCGGATCCGCGGTGAAGTTTTTTCTTTTTTGTTGGTCTTTGAGTTTCTACATTGGTGTTGCATGTCCCCAAAGTTCAAAGAAAGTCATTATGAACCGTGTGGCATGGTGTGACTCTTGTTAACCGATGATAAACATCAGCACCCACCTCTTCAGCGATTTGCTGCGCGGCGTTCTCCAAGGGAGCATGGCGCAGCAACTGAGCAGCAATCTCTTGAACGGTTGTAGGGTGGGCATTATCGAAACAAGCTAAGTCGTTGATGCGCTGCGACGCTGAAATTAAAGATCTATAAAATGGAAGTTCAAAGATGAACTTGCACCATCGCTGCGAAGGAAGCCTGCCTTGCTGAGAAACTGTGTCATGATCTGGACATACTGAGGTAGGACCTTGCGAAATTAGAGAGGAGCTTGCCAAAAGATCCTGAGTCTCTACCAATGCCTGATTATATATATATATACTTGGCTAAATTCTAGCTGAGCCACTCTCGAAGCACGCGTCACTGCCAGTGCCTCGCTTCCTTGCTTGGCAGCATCTTCTAGGCTCTCGCCGCGAACCAAGGCAGCCAGTGCAACCACGCTTGGCAGGACCAAACCATCCATAGTGTCAACGTTGTGGCCATCATTATCCGGACACTTTTCTGGTGCGACCCCTGAGCGCCACTTCTTGAAAAACATCCGATGGCAGGTTGATGCATAAGTATCATTGTGGGTACCTGGAGTGGTCATCAAGTCAATGTACCTCTGCCGGAAGTCTTCTGCGCTGAATCGACCCCCGGTGCTTGTAAGACTTCGAATCATTTCACGAGCAAGCACTGCTTCCAGAGTGTTCTCACCTGCATCCAATGTCTGGTGGTAGTGGAACTGGCCTCCTCGTCTCCAGTATGGTTTCTTATCATGTAGAATCACCCCGCCTACCACATCTCCTTCGTCACTCCCTCGACCTCCTCCGCCCGTATTGCTGAGCTGCATTATCGAATCTGGAAAAGGATGCACAGACCTTTCATAACCTGTTAGAAGATGCCCGAAATCGGTGCGAATCTGATCAGGCCCGCCATAGTACCAATGCCTCACTTAGCAGAAATCTCTGGAAAACAGATGTCTTTTGGAATCTAATTTCTTTCCCGATTCGTACATGCCAACATTGACAGCATCGCACACTCGATTTTGTTGCGCAGCAAAGGTGTACCGGCATGGCCAAGGCGTCTCCCACAAAAAGGCCCCACAAAGCACCAGCAGCACGTGCGGACCAAGGGAGGGCCGTCGGTTGCGGCAAGTTGGACGCGGCCGCTAAGTGCAGCAGCGGGGCCTAAGCAGTCAGCAACTGGCTTGACGAAATCCGGTGCCAAAAAATGTGCCAACAAAGTGACACGAAGTGGCACAAAGTTCTGGATCATTGATGATCATTGATGATCATTCCATGACCATTGATGATGGTTGATCTCTGATAACCATCGGAAGTGACTGCATTTGCGAACGATGTTATCAAGAGCTGCTAATGGACATGATGTCACACAAGTCTGCATGAGTGCTGAGAAAGGCTCTGTGTAGCTCCACACAGGGCGGTTTGACATGGCGGGACCAGCCGGAATGTTTCCCGGTCACAATCGCCTTTGACAGAAGAGCTGATGTGCCTGTCTAAGTCAGACTTGAAACCACTAGGCCCCTAGGCTTGTTCTAGATCTGGGGGTGTTACACTTGCCCAGCTGGACTGTGAGACTATCTCAAAAATCACAATGCATTGACAGCCACCAGGCCACATGAAAATAAGCTTGAAATTTGTGACCAATTCTAGATCATGTGCGTAGTCATCCGATTCATTCTGCCCGCTTCTTTAAGATTTGTTGCTGAATGTTGCTGAATGTTGCTGAATGTTGCTGAAGCAAACGCTTCGATTCAAGAGTCAGAAAGGTCTGTGAAATGCGACTTGGCCTTTCAATGGGCATCTCACAGCGAATCAAAGGAATCCAGGTCTCCAGCAAATGAAAAGGCGATCTTTGGTAAGACCGTCAGAAAATCTAAGGGCGCACTTGCCTCAGTCTTGGGCTAAATTTGCTAAATGCAGGGTGATGATCGCCAATATGGGAGGAAATAGCCGTCTGATTGCATTCCAGCAGCAGCAGCCGCAGCCACAGACGCAGCCACAGTTGCTCGCGGATACTGATACATTTCAGCCAAGTCACTGAAGTTGAACCTCCATGCGACGTTCTTGCGAGAAAGAAGCAATTCGGAATTCCAACCAGTGGGAAAGCTCTGTAAAAATGGTCTTAAGGTCAATGCCCCTTGCCAAAGCTGGTACCAGGGCTCTGGCTCCTCCATGAAGGTCAGACCTCGGATCTTCATCGACTAGATCTTCTGACTCAAGGTGCTCAAGCTCAGTCTCAAGTAAAGGACCGGTACGTCCGATTGCTTGATTACTCTAGCTACTTGCTTGTTACTTGTCTGAATCGATTGATTGTCCGTCACAATCTGTCACAATACTATAAAGTCATACCATTTTCAACAGGTTCAGACCGTTCAGACAGGCTCAGCCACATCAAGGCGCTAGGTTGAAGACTCTGGACTGGCGCCTGAATCTGTGATCGTGGATCAGCTCTGCAACTTCGTGCGAAGACCTGTCCACGGGATGCCCCAACAACGGCCCACGGCACTTCTTTCCCATTTTGATCATCTTTGATTATCTTTGATCTATGTCATGGTTCAAATCCTGCACAAGAAAGCATGTACACAAAGCTGTCAAGGATTGGACCTCCGAAATGTTGAAGTGCGGCCTCCAAGCAAAGTGGAAAAGCAAGGACATCGTAATCTCATGAAGCCACAGCTGCACCGACTTAGGCCTGGCCTCATTTGTGCTTGGTGCAGCCCCTCCTCAACCTCAATGACAATATCGTGCACTGTTTCAACATATTTAAATAAACCAGTTTTGAACAATGCTTCCGTAGCGTTTGTGGAGCCAAAAGCCTCTGAGGAAGGGTCTTTCCAGCCAATTCGACAAAAATTCCTCAGGAGGTGCGATCAAGAGTTCCATCACAAGACATGTCGCTCATGCTCATCGATCATGCTCATGCTCATTCGACCTCTAGACCTCATTTGCACCTTCTGTTCAGAGTAGCTGCCAAACTTTGAGGGTATGTCAGTCCATCTGGTGTCTTCATGAGAAACGCACTCACAGTTTTTCGATTCAAATTGTCCGCTCTAATTGCCTTTGAGCGTCGAAATGTTCAAGGTCTGCTTCTTTCCAACAACTTCCGACATGTACCGATTGAATGCATCCCATGCCTGTGGTGCCGTCTTTGTGCCGAGATACATGGGCAGAAATATAGAACGCTTGCACATGTATTGGACAGCTCCCATGAAACCTAAGTTCCTATTTCCTTTGATTTCACTTTCCTCTAATTTCATGTCAGGTTTCACCTCCACCTTCTCCTTTCTTGCGGGTTGTCTACCATCAGAGAAATTGATGAATTCAGGGATTCAGGGACATTACTCCATTTAATTTCGTATTAATTCACAAAATCTATTTGGTTCATATAGTATCATGAAGTAAATTGATTTCATGGTTTGCAACGCTTTGCTCTAGCTGACCTGCGGAAGCTCATCAGCACTTCGCTTTGCGAAAGCCTGCTGATAGCTTGCGGCATCTGCCAATAGCTGCTCAGCCTGGGAAAGCAACCACTGGCAGCACTAGCACCAGCAAATGCCAGCCATTCACCACCACAAAAGTGAGAAACAGAAGCATCAGAAGCAGTCGTGTCGCATTGTTTACAGCTGTGGTATTCTGCACAGCGCGGTCCTTTCTTATGCTCAGAACTTGTAGCATTCTGTGATTCGGTGTCACTTCCCTGTACCCTGGATGATCTGTATATGTGAAGACATGCAAAGACTCTCCAGGCTGCCAGACTGTGTACATTCGCAGTGCCACGGCAGTATTTGCCACGCGGCCAGGGGAGCGACATCATAGCACTATGGTTGTTGGAGCCGGCGATGCGGTACAGGCAGGCAAGGATGCAGGAACATTGCAACTGCAACATTGGTCCCGAAGAAAATCGGACAAATGACATGCAAATGTGCATATTACAAGAGTTGGAATGAAATCGCTCAAGAGCCATTGACTTGCTGCATCTTTGTTTGCGATAAAAGTTGGGGCCTCCCAAAGCCTTGTTGGTCATGGTATTTCAACTTGCACAGGGCACCCACGCTTGCCGTTTTCACGCATAGCGAGTGCAGAGGACTGTGGGTACTGCAATTGCAATCCCGGGTGAGGTTCGCGCCTTCTCTCTGCTAGGTGATCTGTCCATATGTTCAACCTTGAACCATCGGAAACCATCTAAACCCTAGATATTGCAATTCGTTGGCCCCGTATAGTTAACTCATATGATCTCCTTTGGGAAATGGCAAATTCACTCATTGCGCTGGTCTGTATCTAGCAAATGCATTGCTGCATGTTCAAGCTCCTGAACTTGAGGTGTCCAAGCGCCCTCAGCGTGGAAACCTTCCAGCAAGAGGTTGGAAATGAAGAAAACGCCGGAAACAAAGCTGCAATATCATGGGGACTTGAATCGTCTTACCCTATCTGAATATACCTCGACATACCTCGACCGACTCAACCCGTCTGTCTCAACCCTGCCTCAAGAAGATACAGAGCTTTTCTTGGGGACTTTTGCCTTTCTTTTCTCACCTCACCCAATCACTCTGAACATACTGCCATGGTGCTTTCAGCAATCTGAGGGAGGCACCTTTCTTGTTTTTTTTCTTGCCTTATGGTTCCAATCTCACTCGAGTCTGAACATAACCAGCTGCAGAAACATAATACTTCCAACAGCGTGCTATGAGCCAGTTACGGGGTCCTTCCTCCGCTTCCTCTTCCTCCTCATCTTCTTTTTGTTTCTTCCTTGGTTGATCACGGTTGTATGGTTACATGTGTGTGTGTGTGGCGCGTGTGCGTCCATAGGCCCAAGTATTGCTTGGCCAAAACGGCATATGCAGTGACCGTGGCATCCAAAGCCCGGCACTTTTTGTTCTTTTTGGCCTGCCCAGACGGATTTTTAAGTTTAAATTTTAAACTTTCAAGTCTAGGGGTGTGTTTGCACAAAAGAACAAATACTTATATAAGTTTTCGTTGCCTTTGTGCCGTATTTTCATGGTACTGGTAGTGGTAGTCGTGGTGGTAGTCACAGCAGGTGGTAGTAGCAGTAGTGGTACAAAAGAGTAGTAAATATAGTAGTAGTAGTAGTAGTAGCAGCAACAGTAGCAACAGTAGCAACAGTAGCAACAGTAGCAACAGTAGCAACAGTAGCAACAGTAGCAACAGTAGCAGTAGTAGTCGTAGTCGTAGTAGTAGTCGTGATCGTAGTCGTAGTCGTAGTCGTAGTCGTAGTAGTAGCAGCAGCAGCAGTAGTAGTAGTAGTCTTAGTAGTCGTAGTAGTCGTAGTAGTCGTAGTAGTCGTAGTAGTCGTAGTAGTCCTAGTAGTCGTAGTAGTAGTAGTAGTAGTGGTGGTGGTTTTTGTTGTCGCTGTCGTTGGCGTTGTAGTTGTAGTTGTAATGTAGTGTACTGTAATTAGCGTAGTGTAGTGTAATGTAGTTGTAGTTGTTTGTAGTTGTTATGGAGTGGTAGTGGTAGTTGTCGTTTTTGATCCATCTATCTGTCTATGTGCAAGCTTGAAAACGAAGCTATTCTGCGAGGCTTCCTCAACTTATGAACTTGGCAACGTCAAAAACGAAGCAATGCTGCGAGACTTCCTCAATTTTCCAAGCTGGCAAGATCAAAAACGAAGCAATTCTAGGAGACATCCTTCAAAAATGGAACGTTGAGTGCAGAGCTGACGGCCTCGTACCAATGCGGTTTGCGATTTTTCCGCTCCACCTGCGTAAAATTGTCTAAAGCACTGCGCCTGCCACGAAAAGTGATGCCAGGTCACACGAAGTGCAGCACCTGTTACGCAAAATCATCGTCCCAAAACTGGTGATCAGGTGCTCCAAAATGCAACCCCTCTCAGGAAATCTCCGCCCTGATCTCCTAACACATCTACCTCATGTGTCTCCTGCACTGCGCCTGTCACGTGACATGCATCTTTCCAGATCCTCTTCAAATGTCCCACGCTTGCCATCGTTTTTGAAACTGCTACAAAAACCCGCATGTTTTGCTCACTGTTGGCAAGGTGCAAAATCCCCCGCGCCTGCCACGCAAAACGACATCTGAACGTCCAAAAGTGCTCCGTGCCCGTCAATTTTTTGCACTTTTGACTTTTGACTTCGAAATGTGCTTCGCGCCACAACGGCGTGCACTTTTTCAACATCTCAACTTCCAAAAGTGCTCTGAACGTGGTGTTTTGCACGTTTTTACTTGGAAATGTGCTTCGCGCCACAACGGCGTGCACTTTTTCGACATCTCAACTTCCAAAAGTGGTCCGAGAATGGTGTGTTTTGTACATTTTGACTTCAGAATGTGCTTCGCGCCACAACGGCGTTGCAATTGTTTAATCTCTCATAGGCCAAGCTGGCTAGGAACCCGCCGCTTTAGCGAGCCTACACGTTTCGACACCTCCGGAGCCACAAACACGGAAAAAACATACAAAGAAGTCTAACTTTCGCGCAAATCTGAACTTGCGTTCTTCTGGACTCTTTCTCTTCTCGATCCTTTCTTCTTCTCTTCTCTTTCTCTGACTTTCAAATCTCTGCTTGTTAATCTGTCCATATTGTCGGAAGTTTGACTTCTAAACTTCCTTCGAATAGTAGTCGTCGTCTTCTTAGTGGTGGTGGTAGTGGTATAGTGGTAGTGGTAGTGGTAGTGGTGGTAGTAGTAGTAGTAGTCGTCATCGTCGTAGTACATATACGTAGTACGTAGTACGTAGCACGTAGTACGTAGTACGGAGTACGGAGTATGTAGCACGTAGTCTGTAGTCCGTAGTCCGTAGTGCGTAGTACGTAGTACTTAGTACGTAGTATGTCGTACGTAGTACGCAGTAGTAGTAGTAACGGTAACACTAATATAACATAATATGATTGTATGTGTGCGTGTGTTAAGAGTTAAGACTGTAAAAATTGTTGTATACATTACTAAGAAGAGCCGGTCATGCATTCAGCTAGCATGCACCAGAAAAGAGTGCACAAGAAATCACATTTTGACATGTTCAAGGGCCCATATACCCTAGGCATCCACAAGCCATGCTGAATCAATGAGAATTCACAAGCACTCCTCTTTTCTCCATGTCATGCTTGGGATGCAGCTTCTTCCCTTGCATGCCAATGGTGGCTAATGTATGTACAGTAACTGCCAAATGCCTGAATTTAGGCACAACATGCAACTTTAATCGCTGACACACGTCTAAAATCTAAAACACTATGGGTGATTCGGTTCCGCTCGAGGTTCAAACCAGAACTCGCCCACGCAATCGCGACTCTCGGCAGCACCTTGTCTTTCTTCTTTTTCTTTTTGTGGCCTTGGCATAAGTTCCACCAAAAGTCAAAGCTGAATCAGATCGACAAGGGAGATAGGATAAGGATGGATAAGGCCAGCGGCAAGAAGACAACGGTCACCCTGCCTACGTCGTCAAGATGGTCCACGAAGATCTCAAAGCATTCTTTTCTTGTCTGTGCATCGACTGCCTCGGAAACGGCACACCCTCGGGTTTGCCAAACGAATCCGAATCAACACATGTGAATTGCGGTTCGTCCACTCCTTCGTCGTGAAATCGTCCCAACCGTCCCAGCCCACCCAACCTTCCACGCAGCTTTCTTGCACAGCATCCGCTCTGCGTCCTCCAATAAAAGACTTGGGCTAAAGATGGCTAAAGCATCACAGGAGCAATCTCCAAAACCGGTTGGATGTAGCGATTACTACCATTGAACCATACGATAAGGCACGTGCTAGCTATGGCTGGGCAGAGTGATGACTAATGAGAATATGGAGTTGTTGCATGTTGTTGCACAATTTTGCACAAAGGTGCTGCATGGCAAAGGCAAACAAATGCATGATCCGATGGCTAGAGCCTCGTAGCTAGTTCCGACCGAAATGGCCTTTGTCCTGAGAAATGCCAGAAAAAAGGCGACAGCAAAACAGCCCAAATTCCAAAAATTGAAGGCAAGGCGAATTGATGCAAATTGCATTGACCAGAAAGACTGAGGGCTGGACTTCACCAACAAATCTACGAACCTGACTATTAACAGTTATGTGACGAATGTCAGGTGTGATTGTAGACACACAGATATACCGTAGCTGCCGTAGCTCTTGCAGCCAAGTTACGCTTCTCTTGCTTCTCCGTCATCCTTCTCCCCTTGGTGAGGCTAGCTCTCACCATCCGTGAATCAAACACCACCAATAACACCGTGTAACAGGCATATACAAAATCGAAAAAGAATCGTACTGATCGTACTGCAAGTCATGTTACGGCTATCTTAGGGTCCCTACGGTTCCTTGCATGTTTGAGTCGCTGACCATCTTCTTCACCATCGTCCTTCTCATTTTCTTCGTCATCTTCTTTGTCCTCCTTCTCTCCATTCTCTGCCCTGCATGCTGAAGCAAATGCAGAAAACATAGGATCGAAATGAGCCTGACCAAAATCAATCATAAGATGCTAAAAATATATAAATGAATCAACACGGACCGCAAGGAGTTGCATGGACCGCTGAAAAGTCGCGGAATCTAAGGCCAAAGCTTTTTTCGGACACCCGGAGCAGGACCGCCGCCTGCATCCCCGTCCGCATGCCTCAAGGCGACATTGCGATTCCAACATCATCCAACTAAAAGCAAGTAAAATAAATATTATATAATGTAATAATATATATATATTACTATTATTATTATCATTATTATTATTATTAATATTATATATATATATATATATGTGTGTGTGTGTGTTTATGTGTTTTACATACATATAGGTCAGGGCGTAGGCCCTGATTTTCTAGTATACCGTATGCCACAAAACTTGAACCTATTTTTACTACAAAATCCCTGCTGCATGGCCCCCACGTTACAGAATCCCCACCCCCGCACGTCCCAACTCCGAATCCTTTTACAGTCCCTGCCAGTCAAAAATTGAAATTTCAAAATAAAAAAATAGAAATCATCTCTACATAATCTGATTTTACACAACCCACGCCTGCCGTGATTTTATAGCATTTAGGAAGATATTTATTTAAAAAAAAAAACGCATCGCCAAAGCTTCCCATTGATCCTTTTTCATCCTTTTTCTGGAGCTCTAGGCGATGTGGTTTCTAGCATGCCATTCAAGGCTGCCGTTGGCAAGCATCCTCGTGCATAGCATTTTGGAGTGCCATGCGCCTTTTTTGTGAAGATGCTGCTCCACGTTGGGGAATCACTCAGATTCTAAATGTCATTATAGTTTTCACCTTTCTGTTGTCTACATCTAGTCAAGTCTGTATCTATACCATTCTATACCTATCTTCATCCTTCTTTCTCGTTCTTTGTCTCCATCTCGGCGCGGCAGGTCTTCACAACTTCCAGAGGTGCCATCTGCTTGGCGCCGCTGCTCTCAGCCATACCTCTTGCCACCTCACATCGGGGTGACTCCTGGTGTGACGTCACATGCAGCAGGGCAGTAGAAAGACATACCTCTTTTCCGTGGTTCAGGTCCCACACCCCTGTGGATTCCAAAGACACAACTTCAAGGCAATGTTAACCAGAACAGTGTGCTGAAAACTTCGTGAACGTGACTGAATGAGTTCGAGGAGTTTTAGGTAGTTTAGCTGTGGCACCTTGTCATGCCAATCCTACCAGGTCGGTCGTCCTGAGATTTATTGGTGCCAGTGGCACAGCACAGGCAGGAAAAGACTTTGTGACTGCAAAGTCGGCGCATATTGCAAGATACTGTAAAATACTGTAAGTCAGATCAAGTCTGCAGGGACATGGCAATCATTTCAAATATGGCTCAAGACCTTGGCAATTGATGTATCCGATTGCATCCTTTTCTGGGGGTTTCACCCATAGGCTTCTCAGTCAAGAACTCCGGTAATGACATAGGACTTGCAGCTTACTGCAGCCACAAGCCCGTGCACCTACTGCTCTGAAGCTGCTACGGAAACTATAGCTCACCCTGCATCTTGAAGCCCTTCTGCCGTAGCATATCGGGAATCTGGCCTTAGGCCCCAGTACACTCAATAAATCTGCGCTGCGACCAGTAAAGCTGCTGCTGAGGCTGGGACTGTATGAAAATTGTGTGAGGTCAATTCTCTCCTGACAAGGTTTCCGGAGCTGCCATTGATTCACATAGCGCATGCCACACATACATCCGCACACACATCCGCACACGTTCACATACGATTTTACATCCCGGACATGGCAGCCCATATCAAAACTTACATACATTCCTTATACAGATCCCTTTGTAAATCTACCTTGCCTTATGCTGTGGGGAAGATTTTGAGATAGGATCTCTGAGATAGTATCTTTGGTAGCTTGGTTTGACGGTTAGCCACTGGATCAATTCGCGGCTTGTGTAACAGCTTCAACCAACCAACCAATATCCCACACTATTCGTCAGCCGTGCTCTACCCGGAGCATACTGATTGCCAGCGGCAAACTCAAAATGTATCAAAATGTCGCATCACGTAGCATCCACAAACCTGAGAGCTGATAAGCCTGATAAGCACAAATGTGCACTGCATGCACTGAGTTGTGTGACCCGTCCTAGCCTTTTCACTCCCGTTCTCCAGGACCACGAGGTCAGGATTGTGCCCCTGAATCCACCGCACCTGGCAGTTCTCCATGGGCATTGTTCGGGTATTGAAGGTCAAAACATGTCAAAACGTTGCTCTATTCTTCGAGTCAAGCTTTGGAGCAACTTGCTAACACATTGTCTCTGTATTCGCGCATCATCTCGTCTACAGAGCTGCTACAAACGACCAGCACAAGCCAGGCACAAGCCACTACATACGCCACTCTGTATCAAATTGTATTCAAATTGTTTTGATCTTCTACATTCTTCCACCTTCCCATGTGGGGCCTCAAGATTCTGCCATTCTTTCCAGCGTTGTTCTTCTTTCAGCCAGCGACGCACGTCAGTAAAGTGATTCAACTTTCAGCCTGCCGAATCAAAAGAACCATGAACTTGGATCCAAATTGACCCAAAAAAAGTAAGCAAAAACAAAGATGAGAGAGTATGAGAGTGATAGAAACATGTGTTGACAATGATATCAACAAAGCAGCAGCCGCCCTTGCAAACATGAAGTCTGTTGAGCCCCTTACCCTGGCAGGACATGATCATACCCTTTGAAGCTGGCTTGGATTCTGCGGCTACATCCAGCATAGTGCAACCACGCTCTTCGCAATGCCCATCCTCACATCTGCCACGTTCCACGATAGGTGGCTAAAGGGGGCTGGAGTGATGTCTGCAACACATCTGGACCACAGACAATACGGACCATCCGACTGTTGCCCTTGGAGGCAAATCCAAGAAGGTGATGCAGCAAAATGGCAGTTGTCATTGTCCCAAGAAAGCAGGCGCAAAGACTTCACAAAGACTTCACAAAGATTATTTGCAACAATCCAAACCGACCAAACCAAGGTACTGCATCGCAGGCTTTCGCCATGCAAACCTTTCCATCCTCACCTTTTTCCTGTGTCGGTACAATCCCATAGTCGTGAGAGCTTTGCAGCTTCGCAGTGTCTGAACATTCTCAACAAGGAATCTATAAAGGAAATGGCACGGTGGCTCTACGGTTGCTCTAACATGCAACATTTCTAACTTCGACCTTGTTGAAAATATTGAAAGATCCTTTGGTCGAAGCTTGGAACCTGGCCAGGCCTTGGCATCTGCAACTCCAAAGCTCAAAATCAGAGCGATTGCCTCAAAGGATCGGATCCAAGGTCGCACCGCACCAAAAATGGACTCCGACCACTCCGAAATAAAAGATAACCAAAGTAGAACCAAAGTAGAACCAAAGTAGTCTGAGTAATCTGAGTATTCCTGGGTTTCTGTACAGAGAATCAAGTTGCTGAATCAAGCCGCAGGCAACATGAACACGGCATGTTCAGGTCATGAAAATAAAAATCTCGGTTCACGCAAAAAACACAAAAATAGCAGCGTCTGGGCACACCATGCTCTCAGCACACCTTACAGATTACATTCCATCACATTCATGACATTTCATGACATTCCATTGCATTTTATGACGTTCCTGATGCTGCCAGGGCTCTCCCACTTGAAGAGCCCTGATCGCCATAACTCCGCGCTAACTCTTGAGCCCAAACGCTGCAGATGTTTTGAGTGGCATGTAGTGGCAAGTAGGACATAGCAAAAGAAGTTTTTCAAGAGAAAAAAGTAGCCTGCTTTCAAGTTCGGACAATGGTAGCTTCTGACCAAGCATTCAAGAAATGTTCAAGCAAAGTCAAGACCTCACCGTTCTTCGTGGAATCAACTCTAGAACGCTGGAAAATGTCAGGAAAATGTCAGCCTTCGCCCTTTAGGCCCATACCGATCGGCTGTTGGCAGGGCCTCTGCATTTCAGAAAGGAAGTCGCTCCATAAGGAAACATGTAAAGTTCAAGCAGCTCAGCCAAAGGGGAAGCATCGGAAGCATGGAGAACCTGATTTTTTTCACCTGACTACGACTTTGTTCAGCTATCACATCCCGCAGCTGAGCCATGATACCCCCATGTCTGGGTCATCGAAGCTCAGCTTCAGCCAAGCCTCAAGGAATGACGCTGCTAAGCAGAGCACCAAGTGGCGAAGCCAGTTAAAGCCCAGGTTAATTACGAGTTTAACGTTTGAACTTTGAACCGACTTGGAGCTTTACCGGGCGATTTGTAAAGATTTTGGGACGTCAAGCATCGCCAAGCAAACTCCTCCCGGTCCTTGCGTATTTTTTTCCCCAATGTCATCTCAATGTCATCCCGATGTCATCCCGATGTCATTACCTGAGTTTCCTGCTCTGTCTTCAGGAGTTTGATTGGTTTTAAGCTGGAAAGGCACCTGAAGGGTCATGAGGCATTCCATACCCACACCATCCCACACCCCACACCAAGGCGAAGGGATGGGAAAGGGGAGGAGATATCTTAGGGAGTCAAGCATCACATGCACATGCCCCGCGTCGCTAGCAATCCTTTTCTCTCTGTAATCCTTTGTCGTCATGTTTCCGGGTGGCTGATTCTTTGCCAGTCTGCCACACACACACACACACGGCGAGCTATTCTCACTCCAGGCGCACATTGTGAATGATCTACGAATCGGACTGCCGCACTGCCTCACCATTTACCTCCCATGGACATGCCACGCCGATAAGCAACAAACATGGACCCAATGGAAGAGAACCAGAACAGAGACATGGCAATCATAACAAATGCATACAAATGTCCACCTTCACAGCCATGCCTTGATCGTTTACTTCAACCCTCGGCATGTTCCATCCGCTCTCCAACTCACCACTCTGGTTCGAAGCCAATGAGATTGGTATGACATGTTGCGACATGTTGCGACACGTTGCGACACGTTCTTACAGGTTCAAGTTTTGTCGAGAGGCATAGCTTCAGGTCCTCCTTTCTGGATCAAGTATCTCAGGATGTTCAGACTGATTCAGACTCCTAAAAACAGCAATTCTGTGCAGCCTTACTCCAACAGGGGGTTCCACATCGTTACACCAAGGTGAACACCGTTGGTTGATGTTGGTTGTATGGTTGTAATGAATCGAATGCCAAACATTCACTCCAACATAAACAGAAACAGTGCGGAAAGATGTAGAAAGTGGCACAGGAAGTACAGAAAGTGGCCGAGATACACGTGATAATTTTCTGCATCTGCTTCTTTGCATTCAGAATGGCTTTGCGGCACGCAATCGCAGGCCCCATCCACGACACCGAAGTCAAAGTACTTGCCACAGGACTTTTCGGCCAGGACATACCTGTAAATCATCATGAATCTTCGTCTCATTTACAAATCACCAAGGGCAGCCCTTGCTTGAACTATCTGATGGCTATCTTAAAGCTGAGCAAACCATCTCAAAGCCGACCGCAGCTAAAGACAGCCAGGTACTCGAAGCATGCTTTCATTTGGTAGTTGCCCACATTCTTCTTATAACCGGACTTGGCATTGGCCTCCGCACGTGCGAGGTCAACAAAGTAAGCCAACAAAGCGACCCCTACACAGCGTGCCTTGGTGTACCTATTGTCTGGATATTTCATCGCATTTTCGAATGCTTGCCGCCCAGGAGCGCAATACTTGTTGGTGGAGACCAGCGTGAAGTAGAAAGTTGTGGTCATGGTTGAACTAGGATCTTGCGACATGAAGCTTGCTTCATGCCTGAATACAAGAGGCAGACATGTTGTGAAAAGGGATTACTTCATGTTCTTCCACGTGTCTGAAGCAAGTGATGTATATAACCAGATTCGCCCAACCCATTGACTCCGTCCTGGATTTGTGCAAATGCTTGCTGGGACTCTCTGTCTTCGATGGCTTCAAGCTTGCCTGATGCTCACGCTTGTGACCATTCTGGCCTTTACTTGCAAGTACAGCAATGCCAGTGATGAGACACCAAAAGTCTAACAACCCAAGCAAGCCTTGGCAGTGCCACTTCCTGACCAAAATGATCATTTAATTATCCCACTCAGCAATTCTATGGCCACTTCGCGTTTGAGCCGTGTAGTCAGTGTAGTCTTTAACTCTCTTTCGGCGAGTGTTTGTCAAGGAGAGATGCTCCGTCCATGTCCGTCCTGTCTTGGCGCCATGAGAGTGGGGCAATTCCGACTTCCTCGTTCTGCGGTCTGACAATGTCTGACAATGTCTGACAATCCCTACAAGCCATGGAGCCAACCGGAGCCAACCGGAGCCAACCGGAGCCAACCTGCGTCAAACTGGGTTCGCAACTGCCGTACATGGTCATGAGATCGTACATGGTCCTTGCTTCCACCTTGCCGTGGAAATGGTGGGCCAACATGAGAACACTGAGAACACACAGATTCCGGAACAGAATTGGATACCGTCCTTCATAGGCGTGCCAATGGATTCTTGATACCCAAACGAGGGACCAATATCGAGTGTAGGAACTATGCGAATAAGCCACAAGCAAATGAATAATTTTCATGTGGTCATCATATCTTGTCAGAGCCCTCCAGAGTCTGAAGAATGTGGGTACACGTGGCACAAAGCCAGCCTGTGTGTTGCAAGTGCGGCTTGCGGCCCTGCAAGTTGATGAATGCAGCACTCTCAGAACTTTCGCTCTCAGAGCTGCTTGGGAGGCTTTCTGTGCTCTCAGCTGGGCTGTCAGCCGAGTTGCCAGCCATGGCAGCCATGTCGGCTGTGTCATCGGCAGTGTCAGCTGTGCCTTGTGCTTCATTGTCAGATGCACCAGCCGCGCTGTCAGGCACACTTTCCTCGCTTTCGGTGCTGTCTGTGCTCTCTGTGCTGTCTGCGCTGTCCTTGCTGCCGGTGTCTGCAGTCTGCTCGGAGCTCTCCACACTTTCACCATCTGCAGGCTCTGTTGAGCCAGAACCGATCGATTCCCCGGTGTCTGCACCAGATGTGTCCTCACTGGAAACCTCCGAGTCGGTATCTGACTTGTCCTTGGTGTCTTCGGATCCTTCGGTGTTGTCGGAAGTTCCTGTAGCATTGGCTGGCACACTACCGTATACTGTAGTGTTCTCACTAGTATTGCTTGTTGCTGTTGTATTGGAATCTGCCGTTGTGTTCACAGCTGCAGTGATGTTGGAGGAAGACAATGCCGACGGACCGTCAACCGATGAGTCACTGCTCGCTTCATTGGGATCCAGCTCATCACCACTCTCGCCATCTTCAGGATCCTTGGAAGCCAGGATCTCGAAACATAAAGTTGCCAGACTACTTGAACTCTAAATGTTCATCGTCAGAATCCTACAAATTACATCTGATAATCATCTGATAATGTCTGATCAACTGATCTGGCCGCCAATGGACGTCTTTGCCAGCTGCGTTGCCATCCTTTTCTCGCCGCATCATGGCCTGAGCTTCACGCCATCTCATGTGGATCCTATGTAATCTACTCCATCTATCTCCATCTATCTCCATCTATCTCCATCTATCTCCATCTATCCCAATCCCTACCCTCGTCTTCAGTGTTGACTATTATTATGACTATTAACCTTTCGGAAGTAAAAGCACTTGGAAGTGGTATGCTTGGTGGCTTAAGAATCTCAAGGGTTCTCCATTCAACTTCTTGAATTTCGTGCTGCTCATGTCGAGCTGCCATGGAGCCATCTGCCCGAACCTCACTGCTGTGAGCTCCATGCCTCAGTGTGGTACAAAAAGGGCAAATCATGTGAAAATCCAAGATGGTCAACCTGTCTTTCAGGATTCTCACAAAATATGTTGGATGCATGGTGCATGGTGGACACGCCATTGTCTATGTAATATTATGTAATAGTGTCCAAATAGATCTAAATAGTGTCTACTTGTCCAATCGTGTAGGATGAAATGGTTGGCGATACCTTGGCGGGAACTTGGTACCTTGGAAACCCAAGGAAGGCAAATCGTGAGGCTACCAAACGGAGCAGTGCCATCGAGACACGAACTGGTGATCTCAACCGCGCCAACAATAGTGCAAAGAGCAAGCAAGATGACCCTCATCCTCGGAACAAGCTCCGAAGGCAAACGCATAAAATGGACAGCTGAAGAAATGAATCCGTCTTTCTCCTCACATTCGCCCCCGGCAATACGGGTAACTGCCCCGGCATCGTACATGAAAAGACTATGCGCGGCAAAAAAGCATGGTCTAAAGTTATCTAAACTCAAATGCAAGACCTCTCCAGAAACACTGGGTTTCAGTGCCGTCAAATTTAGCTATGTTTAAAGCATTGCCTTTGCATTGCCTTTGGCCAAGGGGCTTATGAAATATAGATGGGCCAAACGCACGCCTATCTTTCTGTGCACTGCACAGGGTCTGAGCCCAAAGAATCGGTCACATGCTTCTAAGGAAAAAGGCCCCGACTGAGCTGCATCGGCGTGCTAAAAGCCATCATAACAAAATATACTAAAAGATCGCTTCGGCACTTACCTTTCTTGGAGTGGACAAGGAAATGAAAGTGACTCGTGACTCGATCGTGTCAAAATGTGATCGACCTGTCAGTATCATATTCATTCATGTTCTATCGGTTGATTTTATCATATTCTATCTGCCACTGCACTCGGTCATGGTCCATGGTGCTCCGCTGGAAGAGGCTTTTGGTAACGACGCTTTGAGCATTTGAGCTCAGCGCCAGGATTTGCATGTCGTGATACAATGGCAAGTCCTGCATGCAGCACAGTGAAGAGTTCACCTGGACTCAAAAGATGCCACCTGCTCAGCCACCAGGCTTTTTGTTGAATTTGATAGCGAAAGACATCTGAAGACATTTCGTGGTGTGGTTTTCCCCTCCTGATCCTTCTTTGCTCCAACCTGGATTTTTCCAATGTGTCCAGAAGGCTAAACGTGCAACTTCAAGAGCCAGCAGAATCGAGACACAATAGGCCAAGCATGGTCAGGCATTACCAGCTTCTAGAATTTCCAGCAGGAATACATCTTTGTATCACGGCTACACTGTGGCAGCTACACACATCGCAGAAAATTCATGAAAGTCAGTCACTTGGTCCCTTGGTCTCACATTGTCTCACTAAATCTCAGCAAGCTGAGGCTGCCTGAGGCTGCCTGAGGCCTGAGGCTCTAAGATCTCTGAGGCTATGACAGCTGGCTTGTCATCGCCAAGCTTCAGACCCGTTCCATTCATGGACAGATCCCGGACCTCAGTCGACTCAGTCGACTCGGTCGACTCAGTCGACTCAGCCCCCAGCTTGCCAAATAAACAAAGGGCAACTGATGCAGCTGTTTAATTCCGTTTTAATTCTTTTTAATATTGTTTCAATTTTTATTGTTTCATACATTTTAATACTGTTTATTTAATTCTATTTCACAGTAGAAGGAAACTGCTTTCTGCTTCAAATTACGAAAGCTCCCTACAGTCTTGCTGAAACAACAGATCTGGCCCCTGGCCACTAATCGGGGAGGAAGACCATCCTCCTGACCAACAACTCGTAAGAAAGGCAATCCCAAGTTTGCGCGTGTCTGTTCCAACAGAGCACACCAGTCTGAAAATGAAATCCAAGTTGCTTGTGGTGCAACACTTTTGAACCTCTGCGCTTTAGGAGGTAAATCTCATTTTTGTACAGCTACAAGCCAGGCAATGCAACTGTAGCAGTGCATTGCAGCGTTTAGACAGTTCCGATGCACATTCGATGAAACACTCCAGATCCTTCAACTGGTGACCCTAGCGGCCCTCGCATTCAGTCAAACTTTGGCAACGCATGAAACAATGCAAATTTTTTGTTATATAGTATTTGATTGGATCTGAGAGCAAAAGAGCTATTCAGGCAGGCCGGCAATGCTTACAATAGATCCAACAAACTAGCCTAACTAGCCGCCTCAGATCGCCTCAGTATAGATAGACGCCGTAAGCCGTGGCAACACAAAAGAGGCTCTCGTTGCTGTAGGTCTCCGAGGCGTAGCTGTCGGTGTCTCCATCCCAGAAACATCGAGTGCCCATGCGGACGCCTTGGCCTTTTTGTTCACCAATGGAGACCTGGACCACAATCTTGTAGCGTGGCAACGTCAATTCTTTCAGCCTATCTTTGATGTCATCAGCGACCTGTTTGGTCAGCAACTGGGTCGTCTCCATGCTGTAGGTTGCCTTGTCCAGCTTGCTCTGCAACACATCCCGGATGATCTCTTTGGTGGGCCCTGGGCGAAACTTGTTCTTGTACTCCGGGTGGATCACATAGGTGTTCTCATCGCCCTTTTTCTTTTCCATTGCCATTTCGCGTGGGTATAGTACGACCCCTGGCCTTCTAGTTGAGCCAACTGCACATAGATCCCACTACCAAAGATGATGCAATGTGGTTTTGGCATGCTTCAGCTTCTGGCAACCATGGAAGTGCTCTCAACATGATCAGATATGATCAGTAGCTGCTAGTAACTCAAAAGCATGAAATTCAAGTACTGCAAGATACTGCAAGATATTGCACATGCGTCAAGGAGCTCCCGTGGCCTCAGAAGGTAGCAGCCGGATCTCTGCATGGAACTGCCTCAGCGTGGTTCAAACATGCATGTCAATGGAAATACAATACCTTGCCAGACTCGTTGCATTACGCTTCAGAGAGGCACAGATTGACAAATGTCTTGCCTTGCTCAACTTGGAATCTGAGCCCTGCACGAGCATCCTCGAAGCTCTACCTGAATGTCGTTCCCTGGCGCTCTGCCTTTGCGGGCAAACCCGGGCCGTTGGCTTGCGAACAACACTTTGACCAGATGGTTCCAACTTAAGTTCCAACGGACTTCTAACGCTTTTCACACGCGCCAAACACGACGTAGTCACTACCCAGCGGTGCAGTTGAATAACAACTGCCGCGGCAGTGACGTCAGTGACATCATCTAAACTTAAAATCTTGCAGCCATTATTCAGACTCAAGCAGCTTAGCGCTGGCCTTGCCTGTGCAATGCGGAAGTCTCAACATCACAGCAGTATACGGCGGTCAAGGATTCAGTTTGTGCATCGACTGTGCATGTCCCAATGGCATTAAAACATTAAAACTGCGGCAAATGATACACGAGTCCCAAAATTTCAGTCTTCAGATGTTTTTTTAGGTCGTGTTGATCGTGTTGTCCTGTGCCTTGGCACCTGGAACACATCGGCGTCGCTGTGGGACAGTCATAGCAGCTTCTGGCGCCGGCTTTCCGCGGGCGCAGCTTGCAGCAACAATTTCATCCTCAGTTCCAACATGTTCCAACGAAGCTACAGCAGTCAAGCTGACCATGTTTGGGGTCAGCGATCAGAACAGGATGTGACAAATATTCCTTGAGACAAGACACTTCCCTCTACACGCCGCAACCTGAGCTGCAGAGGATCTTCATTCGGTTCGTGACACAGCTATCACTGCCACCCCTTCCAGATTGAAATTGTGCAGCCTAGCAGCAGCTGTTTTGAAGGATGAGATGTCAGGATCGATATCCTAGCCCAGTCTGGGAAACAGTGAGCCCTGCCAAAAAAGCTTGGACAATCGCCTGTGAACCTCAAAACTCGCGAAAGGAGCTAGAAGGTTTTCTACTTCACCCTCAGCCTGGGGACACTAATAAATTTTCCCACTATATCCAGAAGACCCGACTTGCCAGGTTTTCATGTCCTTTCGCACCATATCTTCGTGAAGCTGCAACGCATACAGGTACTGCCTCGCACAAACACCAAAAGCCACTCTGGAAACCCAATCTAAATCTTGTGGTAATGGCAGGTAAAGAGTAAACCCCAGCTTGTCAACGGTTGAGGTGGCCTGGCGCGGTTGCAAACACAGGAGACCGCCCCGTAGGTGACCACATCTGGCTGCACCTGGACACGCACTCTAGCACACGAACACAGTTCCTGAAGTCGACCCCGTGGTTCAGCTTCAATCTCGTTATATCTCGCTAAATCCCTTTCAACAAATGGTCTTCGCGTCACAATGAGCGCACCTGTCGCTCAGGCATATCATGTAGTAGCCACATGGCTTTTCGCCACGCTGCTTCTTTCACAAAGGCTGTGATAACTTTGTTGTAGAGGCTCACGGTCTGCAGCCCAACCTCCAAGGGTCGTAAAGCACCCAACTTGCCGCACCAATCTGCACACACCAACTTGCACGGCATCTCTTTTTGATGCGATTATATATACCCGAAACAAGTCTTGCAGCCTAGAAAATTTCGCCAAAAGGCCAAACATTGGCAAAGAGAGCTCAGATTGTTGAACCAGCGACTATCCAGCAAACCCCCAAAGGACAACACGAAGATGCTCAACATGGACTTCTCGGTGGATGAAAATCCGCATTTTTTTGTTGTTTGCCGGTGCCGCTTTGGAACGGCACCCCTTCATTAGAGTGAAGCCGGAGAGGGGGAAAAACATCGGAGAGTCCCAAAATAAATCTCATAAAATCTCTTGTTAAGGACCAAATCTGCCCCGAAGGTGGAGTCGTTGGACTTTGCCAAGATAGTCTTGACCGAGAAGACTTTTATCACAGGCTCTTGGGATCTCAGAAGCTATGCGTTCTGAGCAACCCGACTTGGTTGGGAAAATGGGATCGTTTAAAATGGAGACCCCCCTTTTTGGATAAAGCAGCTCAGGATTTCAAACCCTGTGACTTGATAAATACTTAAAATGACTTCATACATATTTCTGGAGGTCCAATCCAGTGGCATATGGTGACATCAGCAACAGCCACCAAGGCCAGCTTAAGCATGTTGGAGCTGGGCGATTCATAGTACTAGTTTGGCCAGTTTGGCAGGTCCCTATTTCAGTTTGGGCTAGACGACATGAAGAGCACGGGGCGGTGGGGTTGCATTGAACAGCTCATTTTCTGTCGTATTCCTTCCATGCCCTGCCTCAGCGACCCGCCCTCCTCTCTCTGCTACATCAAGGGTCCAGAGTGCTGGGCGCCACCTGTGAGCGAGGCAGTTTTGCGATGTTTAAATTGGCAATTACCATGTTTGGCCCGTTCTGGTGGCCATGAGTCCTTTACCACGAGTAGGAAAAAGGAAGAGCAATGCATAGCAAAGCTGAAGAAAATTCCCATGGCATCAAAGGCATGTTTGCACTCATACAGAAGACTTTCTCAAATGTCCTCATGGTCGGATTCGCCTATCCTGTACGTGTATAGTTTCGAATTCTACATCGTTTCGAATTCTACATCGTGATAGTTGTTGTTACTGTAATGATTTGGCGATCTACTAGGTGTATATAATTGTATATAGATTTATATGGAGACACACATCAATATCAACACATGCACTGCATCATTTTGCCTGCTGCATCATTTTGCCTGACGTTGTGTCCGAACACATAATGCGTTACATTATGTTGCATTCACGTTGCATTCCATTACATGACCTTGCACTGCGTTGCATTGCCTTCCGCACCGCAAACCTAGTTCTCTCACATGCATATACAGTAATATGCATGCATACATGTGAGCAGGCTTAACAGGCATAGAATTGTAGCAGGCAGGTACAAGTAACTATACTATATCGTTGTTGTATGTGTGTGTGTGTAAGATTGTATAGGTGCATGCACAGTTTTGCATAGCTACCATGTTTGCTTCGTTCTGACATGTTCTGACACTTCTGCTATATATTTCTGCTGTCTCTTTTGACGTGTTGACCAGAGCCAAGGAGCTGTTTGGCTGCTGAGTAAGCGATGATCAGCGATGCGTAGGTTGTCTGTTCCACCGGAAGAAACAGCTCCTGCCGAAAACGACAACGGACGTGATCATGGGTTGTCGTCATAAACTGACCTGTGTCCGGTCCATGCGCACGGAGTCAAAAGCAGAAAGAACGGAAGGTCCCATCATTATGTCCACCATGCCCACCATGCCCACCATGCCCGCCATGCACCTGCATCTGCTGCATCAGTTCCTCAGTGCTGCTTCAACTTGTTTATATACCGCATTGCAGTGGACAACATGGGCAAGGCACCTTTCCAACAAAAACTGGTTGAGGAAACGCTGATATCTTTTTGGTCAGGTGGCCATGGTCCATTGCCATTTCCCGTTCTCAGCGCACGCTTTCAATGCCTCCTCGAAACTTTTGGTGTCAGGTGGCATCTCCTGCTGTCATGGAGTGTCCAAGTGGAGTCCATTCCAGTCCATCACTGTCCCTTGTCAAGCATCGTGCCAAAACATGCTAAAACCTTCTTGTCACCTTGGCTCTTGACCAAAGTCCCACTGGAGCTTAAACATTAGCAATCCCAAGGCACGGTCTGGCCAGCTCCGAGTGCACCACGGAAACATACAGAAACCGTGTGTGGAGAACTCTTCACAAGGGTCTGCCCAATCTCCTTCAGAAGCACTAACGTGTTCCTCCAGTGACCTGCTCGGCGAAACGCGCCTCAGAACAAAATGCCAGGCGCTTTGGTTGGTGAATTGCCTCTCTTTATTCGAACATCTAAAGCACAAAATGAACTCTGATGTGACTTTCAAGTTTGTATCAAGTTGAGGCAACTGCGCATGCAACTTCTGCTGAAGTGTTCGAATGAAGATTCCGCAGGCCTCTGGTCTGACATCTGATGTGCAGCTATAGAAGTCTTATTTTGCAAACAACATGTAATCGTGATCCTGTTGCAGGCTCATGACTTGACTTGTGCACTGTGCATTCAAGCCACTCTCTCCCTTTCTCAGGCTCCTCGACTGGAGTGCAGGTTTGAACTCAACAGCAATTTTCCATGTCAAAGTTTCATAAACTCAGTCCAAAGTCCTGGTCTCGGACTTCCAGCAAAAGACGCAAAGCATCTTCGGGATCCCCCGCCCTGGACTGGGCCAAACAAAACTTCTGATAGCAAGAACAACCACTCGGTCACTACCAGCAACATAAAATTACAAGCACCAGCGCCAGCACCAGCACCAGCAGCAACGGCCGCGGCCGCGCAGAGCGATGATGCCGACACCAAGTTGAAAATACAAAGAGAAATTCAATACGTAAACACAAAAACACAAGCACACATAGACACATAGACACATAGACACATAGATAGATGGATGCATGGATGGATAGATAGACAGACAGATAGACAGATAGATGGATAGATAAGTAGGTAGATAGATAGAAAGCTAGACAGACAGACAGATAGAAAGATAGATAGATAGATAGATAGAAGATAGGAAGATAGGAAGATAGATAGATAGATAGATAGATAGATAGATAGCTAGATAGATAGATAGGCAGATAGGTAGATAGGTAGATAGATAGACAGATAGATCGGGATAGATTAGGACAGATTAGGATAGATTAGGATAGATTAGGATGGGATGGGGTGGGATGGGATGGATAGACCTGTCCATCATGGGCGTTGTCTGTCTCCTCATCCACAGATGCTAGACCATCGCCATCCTCCAAGTAGTCGGAAAAGAGAACTGCATGCGTTCGGCGAAGTGCAGGCGGATTCCTTCTCCACCAAGAACTTCGCCCGTGAAGGCGATGTTGTGACCATTGGTCTGAAGAGGCACCGTGATCCGTTCAAGAGTTCTGTCAGCTGAACTACTGATGCCATTCACAGGCGAGACGTCTTGTCATCGATGATCAGCCCCTGACGCTTCTAGCCCTTGTACTCCTCAGCACCATAGAAGCTTGAGGCGAAGCTGAAGGCCGTTGCATGCTGTTTCTCCTTGGGGGTCTTCTTCTCATCCTCCTCATCATTGGGATCATCAGTTGATGCTGACCTCATTCTCTCGATTCAACCAAGCTTGGCGGTCTCCTCTTCATCTGAAGTGTTGATGGCATACTCCTTCGCGGCCGTCATCGTCGGGGAGCGTGGTGTTGGAGCTCGGGATGCCATCACTGATGTTGAGACTCCTTGCAAAGTTCTTCTTCCCCTCAAAGCTGGAAGCACTTGCTGAGCCAGGCGTCGCAGCGTGCCAAAATCTTTTGCCATAGCTCTTTCCTTTGTAGCCCTTGCCTTTCTTGCCCTTGCCCTCGTATGATGGTCTCCAACTCCATGGGCTCTTTGACTTCCCTCCATATCCTTTTCCTTTGCTCTCGCCCTTGTAGTTGCTCCCATTGGAGTACGGCTGTTTGCCTTTTCCTTTGAATCCTTGTTCAGCGGCAGTCATGAGCTTGATGCCACTTCGAGCCACAGTTGAGACAGCCATCATCCTTGCCTCAGCCCTTTCCATAGTAACCTGCAGTATCATCTTCACTCACCATCTGTCTCAGGAGTTGCAGGTGCTGTCGTGGGCTGCTCGCTCTGGCTCGTGGCAGTCGTTGGAGTAGTCGTCATAGGTCCATTTGCCATCCAGGCAAGCTTCGTTTTGGCATCTTCAACTTTCAGGTTTTGAGGGAGGTCTCGCGCGAAAGCTTCGTTTTGCATCTTCAACCCTGAGCCTCTTTGCGAGGAACTGGATGCCGCTTGGGATGTGGTTCTGCACGACCATGCCACTGGTGGGGCCCCTGACTTCTTTGACAGTCAGTCTGGCCAGGGCTGCATCATTGGTATCCACCAACCCGTCCGGCCGAGAACTCGAAGTGAAAGTGCGACTTTGGCTGCCCGACCGTAAACTCGTCCGGCAATCAACGGGCCGATCACTTCCTCGTCCAAGTTGCACACTTTGCACCGTAGACGTAATTTGCGCAATGGATAACTTGCGTCTCTGGGACCCATCCTGCTGGCTCTGCGGAACTCTTGCAAGGGAATGGAGCCTGATGATGGTCCATTCATCGCGCCGATGTCCATGGCAAGGGGTGGGACCACAGGTTTCCAGTTTGAAGATCTGCTGGTTCCCAAACCTTGGAACAAATGCTTCCCAATCTTGGAACCTCGGGTTCCTAGTTCTACAAACTAACGGTTCCCAAACCTTGGAACCAATGCTCCCCAATCTTGGAACCACGACACGAGTTCCCAGTTTGTACTGCAGCTTGCTAGACCTGGGCGGTCGTTTGCAAAGTCCAAGAAGTAGTGGCAAGACCTGGGCTGCCGCTGACAAAGTTCTGGAGATAGTTGCAAGACCTGGGATGTCCCCATCCCAAGGTGCCCAGGATGTTGCAATCTCCAGGAAACCAACGTCAGGATGTAGGCGCAAGACCTGGGAGGCAGTAGGACCCGTCCAGGACAAAGCGCAAGGCCTGGGAGCTCGAAGTGCAGGATGAAGCGCAAGACCTGGGATGCCAAGGCCGTCAGCAAGGATGCTAAATTCGAAAGGTACTCCGTGGTGCCCTAAATCGTCGGGAAGCCTCGGAGATCTCAAAGCCCCGGTCACGAGGCGGCCTTGTCACCAAGGCAGCAGCCTTGCAAGCAAAGGTCTCGCCAAAGACCTCCGGTAGGGAGCCCCCGTTGCCAGGGGCTCCGCTACCAAACTTACTTCTGAGCCACTCCAGGGCGCCCTGCGGGTCCAAACCGCTGCTACATTTCACTGATAGAGAGGTAGAGAGATAGACAAATCGAGAGATAGAGAGATAGACAGACGAGTAGATATATAGATAGACAAATAGACAGATGATAGACAGAGATGATGGAATGAGAGTGCTGTGTATAGTTGGGTGTGTTTGGGTGCGTGAACTGCCGAACACACCCACAAGCGACACGTTTGAGCCTGGCATTGGCCATAATCGCCTCAGAACGCCCACGGACTTTTGCAAGCTCCAAACGCATTGCAATGGAACGAGCACGATCTCGAAAATTACAATTAAGCAAACAATGATCCTCGTCATTCTCTTCATCTGCGGTCGATATGTTTGTCGTTCATTGTCGCTCAACTCTTTGTCTTGCCAGTGGTTCTCAACAATTCGCGCTTCTGTTAATTTACGGTTTTCATTGTCCTTCCTCAACGTTTCACAGAAAACTATGCTTGAAGTGCAGCCAGGCAGCCATGTCCCATTGCCTTCTTGTAACCCCCAGCTCTCTTTGCCGCATGTCACGCAGCAGGAGGGAGGTTGCCTTCGCCGCTGAGGCGGCTTCAAGCGAATCACCATTGGCCACAGAATAGCAAGCAGCTAGGGCACTCCCATACACCTGCTCGTCAAGTATCAAGTTTTCCTGCTCCATTTGCTGTAACATGTCAAAGACCTTTCTCCAGTGATAGCCAGAAACCCAAGCATTCATGCCCACGATGTACATCTCTTTGTCACATTCAATCGCCGCCCTCTTGTCAGCCATGACTTGCAAAGCCCTTTGCCAGGAACCCAGCTTCGTAAAAGCTTGCATTGCACAAGATCGATCTTCACTGGTGACAGCATCTGGATACAGCTGTGCTTCCTGCAGAACCTCCATGATTTCCTTCCAACTGCCCCAGCGGGAATGGATGGAAAGCAAGAGCTGGCAGACGCTTCGGTCGCCCTCTCCCGACCAAAACAGTGCAGGGGAAGCCCGCTCGCGGAAATCTCCAATCAGTCTTAAGGCATGCTGCCAATGCTGCGCACCGACCAAGGCTCGTGCTGTGTTGCAGTATGACTCACCTAAAGTCGACATTGGCTCTTTGACGAATAAAATACCCTCAATGCATAGATTGAATTAGATTTAGGTCTAGAGATCTTAGGACTGTCCCAGCGGAACCTCACGGTGCCACCAAGTGCATTCCTAAAGTCACAGTAGATCCAGCATGTATAGAAATCTGTGTGTTTGGAAACAAAAATGGTTATATTGCATAAAAACATAGAACAAAAGAAACATAAAGACCAATTCCGGCCTCTTTCTTCAGCAGGCATGTCATCCACAGATTGCAAGTGCAAAGCCAAGACCTCGCGCCAATTGCCATGCTCACCCGCCACCTTCAGCATCGATTGCCGGTCCTCCGGGAAGATCTCCAACAGCTCCTGCAGTAACTGATAAACGCGGACAGAAACTCGGACAGAATGAAATGAATGAGATGAATGAGATGAATGAAACGATTCATCAAATCGGTCAAGTTGGTCAAGTTGGTCAAGAATATGAAAGAATAGGAAATGTAAAATGAGAAGAATAAATGAGAACCAACAAGCCCAGCAAGCTCAGCAACCCCCGTCCTGCAGCGCATTTGCTCGTGGCAAGCGGGTAGCACCAAGGCAGCTTTCACGCCAACCATGGGTGGGGGCAATGCTTTGGCCCCACATCGGCATCAAACCGGCTTCGTATTTTCCCTGATTGGGTGAACTTGAATGAACTCGGGTGAACATGCAAATGGAAGGATCTTAACTGAAAATTGAACACGTGTTTGCAACAGGGCTGACACAGGGCAATGGAAAAATGCAGAGGTGTGGGGAAGCATAGAAACGTGATGGCACATTGTCACATATAGAAACATAGGGTCGTAATTTGCCTTTTCATTTGCCTTTTCTTGCTTCCAGGCATGGTATCAGAAGGTTTGGAGAAGATTTACCCTGCTTTGCTGTGCTTCAGCTCATTCCACCAAAGCAGCAGCTACAACCAAAGATTGTACCGCACAATGAAACGCCACATGCTCGTACAAATTCATTCATTTATAAGGGATAAACTCACCCGTCAGTCCATAGTGCCATAGGTCCAGGACCCATCTTGACAAGCCTTTCAAAACTTTCAGGACATGCCATGCCGCGACTTTACATGACAGGCAGGTGAGCCTTGGTCTGAGGAAGGGGCCAATTCTGACGCACTTCTTCTCATCCACGTCCAAGAGGAAGTGCTTAGGCCTCAGACATTATCTTCAGTTTATGCTGTGCACCTATACATATACATATCATGCTGTGGATGGAAGAAATCCTGCACCACCTTGGATGGTTGAAGCCCTAAAAACAATGGGATAAACCATATATCAACTGGTGCAGGATTTTTTCCATCCACAGTATTGATATACACTTATTAAGTAGATACTATGTGTATATATACGTGTATATAATCTACAGTATGCTATAGCAGATCCATGTCGGGTCCACACTGGTGTCCACACTGGTCGCAGCACTTTTTTAGTGTGTAGCAACGCGGTCATCTGCGTCTCTCTCTCTCGCTCTCTCTCCGCGTGCAGCTTTGCAAATGCAGAGGCAGTATGCCTTTCCACACTTGAGCCAGTTGAGCCAGTTGAGCCAATGGCATTGTTCGGGCCGTAGGCCATGGGAATCCATGGGACGGAAATTTTGAAACGTACATCAGGCCAAAGACTAAAGACGCCAAAGATGTTGCGAGCCGGAAGAGGGTCAGAAGACGGTGGAGCAGCAAATCCAGCAATGTAGCAATGCCATGGAGCCACCCTGTCACCCTTTGAACAGTTTGAAGTTTGAACTTGGTGTTCCTTTGAACAGTGTAACATATTCTAACCCTTCATCTCCTTCGCCAGCAGTTCATGATGAGACCTTGATCATGATCGATGCGGCGAACCAAGCACAGTGGTGGAAGCACATGCGGCGAACAAATCTTTGCTCACCTTCAAGGTAGTCGCAAGTCGTTCCTCGTCTTCTCCACGTGGAAGCTTGGTGTGATGACGCTGCCGGTCTGACAAACGACCACCCTGGAGTTTCTCATCGATAACTCGTCGGACACGCAAGCGAAGATGCTCTTCATCAACGCCCTTCCACAGCACACCATGATCGTCCCGGCTGTCTGCTCCCAAATTCGACATCAAGTCAATCAAAGTTTGATAACTGCAGAGCGAAAGGCGGACTTGAGATAAGAAAGAATCGAGTTCGGAGGACCGCTCTCCAGTATCCTTCTCAACCCAAGATTTGATAATACTGAGAACATCTTGCTCATCTTCCACATTTAACGCATCACTGGCCAGAACTGCCTTAAAGCAGCAGCCATCCAACGCCAGCACCGCCTCGCTAAGGGGCCTTCCCACGTTGGCTGCCAGCAAATCGGCTGCAACCAGAGAGAGATTGACGATGGAAAAGCGGAGGCCCAGTTCCAAGTACAGCGAAGCGTTCTGCAAAGTCACAGGATTTTGGCACATCATGGCTTCACCATACGTCACTTTCAGGTCATCCAAGCCATACTCGCTGGCAAATTCAAGGAGAGGGTGTTGTTCTTTCAGATCCACGACAGAGAAGCTGCGGCGGCCCTCCTTCATGAAAGCTATCGCATCCTCGACCACTTTCAAGTTGCCCTTCAACTCAATGGTGCGGCATCCTTTGGCATCTTTGTCATTTGTGTTCTCTTTCAGCAAAGATCTGAAACTGGGACTCCACGTGGCTACTACCAGGCTGCTACATGGGAAGGTCGTCTCATCGGATGCACCATCTGGTCTCAGCTGTCGGGCTTTCAAAATCACATCACAGCCGAGCGAATGGTGAAGTTCTTTCAGCTGTCGCGCCAATGATCGGATCGTTGAATCTCCGACGGCAAATTTGGAATCCAATGGCGTCACCAAAGACTGGCCGCTTTCACGATTTTCTTGGGGATCTTCTGCATCCGAGACTTCCACTGAATCATGTGACAGCTGCAGTGCAGCGTGTTCCTCTGCAGTGTCACCCATGGCCGAAATGTAGACATGATATCATGATAGCTATTGCAAGCAACAGCCCCCCGTGAAAGTTCAGCCTAAATCTGCAGCGCATCGCAAGTTTCACAGGACATCCCCTACATGTTGTAAACCACCACGTTCTTTGCATGTCGCTTGCTGCGTGGCTCTTTTCGAAATGAAGTGCATATTTAGTGTAAAGCGCCCTCTGAAAGAATTGTGGTGGCATGTGGCTCTTGGCTCTTTAGTCTACTTAAAGTCTACTTAGTTAAAAACTTACTCTACTTATCTCTACTTAGTCTATAGAGTCATGTCTAGTCTACTTAGAATCTACTTCAATACTCCCGATCCCCGAGATCCGCTGAGGCAATAGCCCTCTTGCAGCTGGAGTACCTAGTAGAACAGTGCGAAAGCTTCGGCTGGTGCAGCTGGCCTGTTTTTGTGAAAACCTTTGGCAACTTGAGCTTCAACCGATGCACAGCAAGCTAAGGCAGCTAAGGCAGCTAAGGCTGTCTCATCCTAGCCCTTCAGCAGTGATGGTAAAGCCCACTTTGGTCGCAGTTTCTGCCATAGCCTACGAAACAAGAGCTGAGCAAGAAAAGGTGAAGTGGTGCTTGGCTCTAAATACCACTCCAAAGGCCCCTCTAACAATTTGACTAGAGAATGCCAAGTTGACACAAGTTGACACAAGTTGACAAGAATGCACAAGAGAATTGCAAGAGAATTTCAAGGGATAAATTTCAAGATGGAAGCAGGAAGGTTAAAAGCGCGGGATCCGCCTCGTCCTGAGCCGACTCAGGCTCAGGGACCGTGCCAAGATGCTGCAGTTGAAGTGGCTGAACAACTTGAAGAAATGATAAGAAAGGCGAAAGTCTTACCATCTTGGACTCGGAATCACGGAAAAAACTATGCAACAGATTGCAACAGCACTTCAAAGATTTCAATGTTTATTGAGTTTACAGTGTTCAACAAACTCGGGACAGTCTGATCGAAGATTCGCTCCTGGTCTATTCATATCTATTCGGTCTATTTTCCGGCACTCTGCACATCACTGCCCTCAACATCCTCAACATTACGCTGAACCGCGGGGACTCTCGGCTGTCCATGGCTCTGGCTGTCACATGGCACATCCCTTGTGGATCCACCACGGCTAGGTGAGAACAAACACGCCTGCCGGTGCAGGCTGTGTCCGAAACCTCCTTTTGGAAACAATGTTGCCAGCGCAAAGACTTCCCGTCGCTGCAAATTGTGTTTATATCGATACATACATAATACATACATATAGTGTGTGTGTGTATGTCAATATGTGTTCAAGGGAAAACAAGCGCCACTCCTGGATCAAGCAAAGTCATCAAAGTCTTGTTTCTGTAAAATACTATCTGTAAAATTTGCATCACAGCCGAGGCAATCTATCTGCAGCTGTGATTCCACAGGCTGCTTGCCTGGCCTAAACCCAACACGGACGAAAGACTTAACGGTCCCTGTGGAGTTTCTTGAAAATAATTTCTGCCGGCCAGCTTGTTAAGCCTGTTTAGCAAAAGAGAAAGCAGGGAAAAAAGAACGAAATGCTGTACCTCAATGATGTTGAATGATGTTGAATGATGTTGAATGTCCATTTGAAAGCTCATGGAAGCTCTAAGGGCTCTCGTTGGTTCTTTCAGGACTTGCACCGCGATGAAGACACCCCTGGTAACAGGTATGGAGCTGCTGGAGCTGCTGGAGCTGCTGGAGCTGCTGGAGCTGCTGACCGCAGCTCAGGTGCTGCAGAAGCTGCAGCTGGAGTCATTCGAAGCGTTCCCGAGTGTCCCGAGTGTCCGGACTCCGGCCTGCCAAAGCGATCACAAGCACCGAACGTGGCACGAACCATAGAGAACATGCACATACAGGTTACATGCATGTACGATGATAGCAATGATATCAATGATAGCATGATATGATCAGATAGGAAAGGAAAAGGTATAATAAGATGCGACCAAAATAAGATAATTTAGTGAAACATATGCGGGCGATAATATATGATATATGTTATCTTGGAAAAAAACACTCTAAAATAACTTGATTAAAAAAAATGTTATCATGCAATTATAAGCATGGCAAAGCACAGCAAAGTGTAGCACAGCATCAACGGCGGCAAAGGCACCACGGGCATTGCATTTGATCCACTTGGAATTGCCACAATCACGAACGATCTCATGAATCATCAAGACAAAGTAGGTTACACGATTACACTATGCGAATCTATGCGAGCAAGATCCAGCATCCGGCAGGATCCAGCAGGATCCAGCAGGTTGCGCCACGCCTGTATCTGGAAAGACTGCCAGATCTGTCAGCTCTGTGGATTCCAGGGGGCGAATTTTGAGCAGAGGGAGGGCCTGAGAAATCTCCAGACCTAGGCTCTGGCCCGGAAGATCATGAAAAATTGCAATGACCATCCTGACCCAGGAACAGATTAAATCAGATTGAACTTGCCATCCTGGAAACTCTTGAACACTATTTAATATATTTTTATATATTGTAATATCACTATACGAAAAAAATGAGAAAAAAAAATGAAGCAGTTGGAAAGAAGCAACGAGTCCAGCAAGGCCCTGCACAAGATTGCCATGCGTGATTTCAACCAAGCTGCTCCTTCCTTTTGCGGGCCTCCCATGCTTCCGTATTGGTCTGAAGGTGTGTCAGGAGCACATCCTGCAAAGCCGGCCGCGATTGCTTGCAAAACACAGTGAGCACCCCTATGTCCCAAATGAATGCACACGCGTGACACATACTTGTGCCTTGACGCGATGCTGTAGCTCAGCCATGAGGGTAAAAGTTGGTTGGACAATAATGGTGAAGAAGCCCACCTGCAGAGTGCTGAAGCGCACTAAAACATTTGCGCCAAAATCAAATGTGCGCTAGATGTGTGATATGTGTGGTAGTTGTGCGCATGGGCCAGTTCACAAACTTTACCAATGGCCATGGAGTGTTCTGCCTGCGAGCTGGCGAAACGCACAGTTTCTCGATCGCAAAGTGGTGAAATGGGCAGGCCCAAACGCTTCTCCTACCAGCGACTGCACTGGCAACTGCAAGTTGAATTCTGTGGGACCATGTGCACCACGAGGCCGTACAGTCGAGGGCTGAAGTCAGAGCAATTTTCATGAATGTGGACAAACCGCTTGCGGAAAAGTCGCCACGACCGGGTCACAGCAGGGTCACAGCAATCCATCAAAACACAAGGGGATTGCCTTCATTTGAAGGATACAAAGTACCATTATAACAAACACGAGAGAGCCCACCCCTCGCACTGCAGACTACTCTTCTGCCAGCACTGCTTTGCATTACAAACAATCATTCTGCCACAATGGTCTGATTGAGAAGGAGTAACGACTGAGTGAACGAAGGAAACAATGAAAAGAGAAGAAGTAACAGTCTGTGAGAAAGAAAGAGAAGAAGATAAAAAAAGGAACAAACAAAGAACACAAATGAAAACAAGTGCTGAAAATACAACCGAACGACCCCCCGAACGACCCCCGAACGACCCCCCGAACGACCCCTGATTCATGAGTTGTCAAGCGCAGGACCCAGGGCCATCATTGACCACAACATGAAGTTCGGAACTCCCTGCGCCACCGCACCCCTTCTTCATCTCAAAAATAAAGAAAACAGCAAGCAGCAGCAAGCAGCAGCAACAGCAAGCAGCAGGCAAGCAGCAGGCAAGCAGCAGGCAAGCAGCAGCAAGCAAGCAGCAGCAGGCAAGCAGCAGCAAGCAAGCAGCAGCAAGCAAGCAGCAGGCAAGCCAAAATCAACGCAAGCTAAAAATTGAACTTTTTCCAGGCGCACGGCCCTAAAACAATGAAATCGTTCAATTACTAAAAGTTGTGATGATGCGAAACTTGAACTTTTTCCAGGCGCACGGCCTCCCGATACGACTTTAAGAAACTGATACGACTTAAACCGAGCACTTGTATGGTCATCCAAGAACCCAACGGAAATGAATGGATTTGACCCACAAAAGCCTCTAAAACGATTCAACAAATCAATGCAAATCTCATAGGCACAGCCACAATCGCTACGACCCCCCTGAAAAGCTTCGCCCAATGGTATGGACTCAAAAGCAAAGAATCGCTACGACTTTGACCCTTGACTGTATTGGGGGCACTTGCCTCATCTCCCTGCAGAAAGAATTCCTGTCGCAGCAAGTCCTTGGCAGCGGTGCCCGCGAGCGAAGTTCGATTTTCGAAAGCAGTTGGGCCAGTTGGGCTGAGCAAAGGTCATTCCGCTTTCTCAGCTGGTGAGGGGCACTAGGCCACTAATAACAATACTAAAATTATAATTAAATTATTTAATTAAATATATAAATAAGAGTAAATAATATATAAAATAACTTCACTTTAAGCAGAGAGTCCGACCATTTGTCAGACAACGGCAGGACTTTCGCAGGGTTCGAGATGTCCATGGCATGAAGCACCATCACCCGCAACGCCGACCTTGACAAGTCAGTGCTTTGGTTGGCAAAGATAAGCACTAAGTCACTAGGCAAAAGCGCATCGTGCATCGTGTAGAGTCAAAAACAATTGGATCGAGGTGAGGATTAGGGGAGGCCATGCATCCACAGTCTTCCCAATGCTGCCAGAACTGCCATAGCTGGATCCAGCTGCATGATCTGCCATTCCACTCATTCCACAGTCTTGTCAAGTGACATGGCCTTTGGCTCATGATGCCATTCTGCAGGATCACTTCCAAGCTTCTCGATGAGAGTCTTGAAATCTGCCTATCAAGTGCCACAAGGTATAGAATTATAGAAAGTGACCACAGTGTGCAAAGTTCTGGAACAAAATTAAGAAATAATACCAAATTCATACATTTCATATAAGCTTAAATTCATGAAAAGAACCTTGAGAAACACCAGCATGGGAAAGATCCATCAAACTGCTGATCTCGCAAATCAGGGATCGGAAGCCTCCACAAAGGAAAAAGTATGCTTCATGCTTCTTCATGCTGCGTAGATCTGCATTGATCTGCATTGCATTCTCACATTCAGGCACTACATTGCACTTCATGCATTCAAGGCACTACATTGCCAAAGTGAGAGGACATGTCCGTGCCCAGCACTACCTGCAAGATCGATCGGCAGCCCAACAAAACTGGTTCACTTCATCGTTAGGGTCCCAAATGACACAAAATCAAAGGACCTTAATCACTTTTAGTCTTAGTTGTGAAAAACGACGAGAAGGAAAGAGAAAGAAGCAGAGAGAATGTGAGACAGCAAACTCAACAAACAGAATACAAACGGTGAAGAAAGACTGCGCCTCAACCATCTCTTTCCGTAAGCGATTTCGGTGTTCAAGCTTGAAACCCTCCTCGTCATATTCAAAGCATGGATTCTCACGTTGACATGCATGTTTCACGGCTCTCGATTGAGCACGAGCTTTGCAAGGGTTTCGATCATGCGCTGAAAAGCCCGGAAACCAATACAAACATGTGACTGTATATGTTTATGTTTGTGCAAATATATAACTGTAAAATGCTATGTACGTACCTTCATCAGCCTTAAAATATGCCGATGCAACCAGGTTTTGTCCTCATCAAATATCTTTCAGAAGCGGGTGCAACATACACCATCCATACATGCTGATACCGGATTATCTGCCATCCAAGTGGCTAGAATGTTTGTTGAAGGATCCTGATGCATACCACAGCAAGATGCAATCACTGTGGACGGTCTGCTCTCTATCTCTGACTAAGTCTTACTGAGCTTCTGGTGCTGATCACTGCCAATGCTCTGTTAGCATCTTTTAGCTGAAGGTGAGGCCGCCACACTATGCATCAACTTGAATGTCTTAGAGATGTGCATGTTCTCGAGTACACTGATATCCTCAGCCCACGAAGGTCCAGATGTGCCTTTGAAGAAAGCGTATCAAATCAGATGGCAACCTTAAAGCCGAAAAGGATTTTGTGTGCCGGCTGGTATCGTTGTAAGTCAGCGCAATGTCGTCGCAAACGTTCGCATGATACGAGTTTGTGCGACCATCATGACCTGTCCAAGTTTCACTGCGCTCAGGTGACGCAGAACGTGCAACAAAGATCAACAAAGGATAAGGACGAGCTATGGCCATTATGGCCAAATCCACACTTGGTAAGGATATCCGTAGCAATTCCTGTAAGGATATCCTCAAAGATCGGTCCACTGGTCCAACACCTGTCTTAGCTGAGGCAAGCACCCATGTCATGGACAATGGCACCCAGCAGAAGGGCAAGAATACTGAGCTGATCAAAGTAAGCCGCGAAGCCAAACTGAAGCAGCAACGCATGGACGCATTGGGTCACCTCAGCTGAGACCGTACGCCTCTGAGAACAAGCCAAGCCGTACCCGAAAATGAAAGAAACTGTCCAAAGATGTCCAAAGATGTCCAAAGATATCCAAAGATGTCCAAAGGACGAAAATTCCGTCGAACACTGCTAGAATGCCTTGGAACCAAGACACGTCTGCGGCGTGCACATTGTTGTGGTAGAGCACTGTGTCTTGTCGAGCATACATGTCCTGACAAATATGCAGAATCTCAGAAGGATTGCAGGTCGAGACCTGGCTATTTGACGCCACGATATATGACGGGAACACCGACAGGACTGCTCAATCTATGACTGTTTGAAGTTGGTCAAAATGTAAACAGATCACCAGGTCTCCTCCACAGCCTCGAGAAATCGGCTGGTCCTTTCCATCTCAAGGAAAACGTCAGAAGGCCTTAATAGCAGAAAGGAGGTCAGATACTCGTTGAGATCCAAGAGATGTACACAACCCATGAAACTGACGGAGGCTGCTGCACTTGAAGCGTCCAAACTTGCTCACTATGTCAGTATGGATAGCTGAAAACTCATGACCACGATTGGACGTGTATCAGTCAGAATGGATGCTAGTTGTGTCACCTGTATGTCTCAGCACGGGGATATAGTCAGGTATGGATGGCATCTTACTGATGAATATACTGCTCGCAAACTCCTCTACCTACGTCGATCTGACTCCGACCATTCTGGGCCATTTTCAAAAGAGACAGTTTGAAACCAGGGATTCAGTGCCAAGTTGTGCCATGCCAAGTTGTGCCAAGAAACTCTTCTCCCAGGAAACCACCTAAGGCCTTCCAACCGGCAAAATGCAAAGGACTCCCCTTCGTCGCTTCGGATAATTGAAAGCCTCGGAAAGGTTCCAAGCTGGATGCAAACAGGTATATAGCCCCAAGCAGGAAATGGGGGAGACGGCGAGAGAATGATACAAGTTTCTATATGGTCTCTCTATATATACACATATTTTTATTTATAATATTTATTTATTTGTTTACTTACGTATTGATTTATTGATTTATGTGTATTTATGTACATTTTTATGTATTTAATAGTTATATATACTTGTACTTATATTTAGAATATATCACATGTATGTATACTGTATTTGCATGTCTTCGTTTGGCCATGTTTGTGAGTGTGTATGTGTGAATGAAAATGCATGTGAGCAAAAGTGTGGGAAGATCAGCGGTCACGTGGTCGATTTCCGGGTGCCAGCATTTCTGAGTCAAGTGGCTGTCGAAGTCCCACTTGTCCTCAGCTCATGCTGGCAATTCAAAGATTGACAACTACTTGACAGCTGGTGATTCAAATTGAGGGAATCTGTATCTGGTGAGTCAAATGGATCTCGCATCATTTCATGTAGATTTGATCTCTCCAACAATTCGTAAGCCCTTCCACCCCTTCCACGGTTTGCATCACTTGAGGCCAGGGGGAGGTACGAAAGCTAGCAGGACGTGGTAATCGTAAAGGGGGTACAGCAAGGTGAAGTCGCAATGTAGCAACGACGGTCTACGCGGTATTTTGGAGTTGCCGCAAGTCACAAACGGCTGCAGGTCACAAACACTGCCAATTTTTTGATGTTGATGAGGTTGCTGACCAGAACGATGAGGAAACTGATGATGACGAAAGTGATGGTAACAGGAATGAGTTGATGACGGCGATGATAAGCACGAAGAGGATGATCAGGATGATGAGGACAATGAAAACGATGAGGATGATAAAGATAATGAGAATGATGAGGATGATAAGGATGATGAGGATGATGAGGATGATGAGGATGCTGAGGATGAGAATGGGGATGAAAATGAGGATGATGATTATGATGAGCAGGGCTGTT